TTCTTCAATTTTTCCATTGGTTTCTTCAATTTTTCCCGGGTTTTCTTCAATTTTTCCATGGTTTTCCAATGGTTTTCTGCAAGTGTTCCATTGTTTTCTTCAATTTTTCCATAGTGTTCTTCAATTGTTCCATGGTTTTCTTCAATTTTCCATCGTTTTCTGCAAGGTTTCTTTGGTTTTCTTCAATCAATCAATCTATATATATATATGTATGTGTGTATGTATGTATGTATGTATGTATGTACGTAGTAGGTAGGTAGGTAGGTATGTATGCATGCATGCATGTATGTATGTATATGCAGGGTGTGGTTTAGGGTTTAGGGATACAACATGTAATTAGGTATAATTACATGATTATTTGTTGTTTATGTTGGGATCAAAGTTGTGTATAAAAACAACCACAAATATGTCATATATATATATATGTATACGTCTGTATATCTATAAGTAAATATGTATGTGTATTTAAAATATATATATATATATATATACTTATAGTTATAAAATTATATAAATATATATACATTGATATGTATATACATATTAATATGTATGTATATATATATACATTTATATAAGTACATTAATATATATATATAAATAAGTGTATATATAAATGCAAATATATACATATACATATACATATATATATGTGTGTATACGTGTGTCTATATATATATATATATAAATATGTCTAGATATATATACATATATAATTTTTAACAAAATATTAATATAGTCGAATCAAACAAGTGTATTGAAAAGTGTGCAAGTTTGAATTTAAATAATTTAAAAAAAGCGGGAGGGGGGGGATTGGGGGGAGGGCGCAGCGCCTCCCCCCCAAAGCAGATTGGAAACACCTATTTTACATGCAAGGTGCTGGGTTGAATGTGATACTCAAGGTGTATAGACTACACGACATGCACCCTGGAAACATGTGGAATACAGTACATGTACTTATAGATACATACTTCTTTATATATATATATATATACATTTATATGATTTATATGTATATACATATGAATGTATATATATATAGGTACATAAATATATATTTATATGTAAATATAAATATATAAAAATAAATATATAAAAATAAATATAAATATATAAAATATCAATATGAATATGTAAATATAAATATATCAATATAATATATATTTAAGTGTATATATACATGCATAAATATAAATATATAAATATATTTACATATATATATGTATATATATATAAATATATATATATAAATATATATGTAAATATATATATAGGTAAATATATATATATATGTATATATATGTAAATATATATATATATGTAAATATATATATATGTAAATATATATATATATTTATATTTGAATTTGAACATAAATAGTAATAATATGTAAATATATATAAAATATATATATATAAGTAGAAAATATAAATAATATAAATATATCTAGATATAAATATACAAGTGTGTATATAAATGCATATATATATATATACATATATATATACATATAATATATACACATATATATATATTATGATTTTAATTTAAACATAAATATATATATATGAATATAGTCGATTCAAACTAGTGTATTGAAAAATGTGCAATTTTGACATACTAAAAATACCACCAAAAGCCATGGAAAGCAAGCCAAAAGCCAAAAGCAAACAAGCAAAAAGCAAAAAAGCAAAAAATGCAAAAATAACAAAAAGCAAAAAAACAAAAAGCAAACAAGCAAAAAAGCAAAAAAGCAAAAACGCAAAAAATCAAAAAAAGCAAAAAGCAAAAAAGCACAAAAGCAAACAAGCAAAAAAGCAAACATGCAAAAAAGCAAAAAAAGCAAACAAGCAAAAAAAAACAAAAAAAAACAAACAAAAAAGCACAAAAGCAAAAACGCAAAAAAAAAAGGAGAAAGCAAGATAAAACAAGAAACCCAAAAAAAAATCCAAAAACGTAAAAGAAAAAAAATCCAAAAAAAAATAGGCCTCCGAAATCATTTGGCAGTGTGTCAAAACCTTGTACCCCTGGGGAATGGATGTTCATCCCATTAAAAATTGTAAATTTTTATAGGTATTGATCCATAGCCATTTGGAAAGGATTGATCTTTTCTCCAAGAAATTCCTTGGCCTGGCTACCATTGATTCATATTGATTCGTCGAGGCCCGTGGGCAACTCGTTCCCGGCCTCCAAAAGAGATTTCACTCGGCACCTGCGCTGAACAAGCCACCCGGTCAATCCCGGAGATGTGAAGAATGGCGACCACTTGGTGGAATGGATTTAAATCACAGAGTGATACCGAATCATGCATACTAGTAGCAAAATATCCCTCCACACTGTGATATGGATACTGTAGCTATCAAGATGTTCAACCCTGAAATTCCTGTAGACCTTGATTGCATCTCAAATCCTCTCAAGTTTGGGGGGTCCATCACCCTACCCTGCTGGCCATGTGCCTTGTCGCTTCGCGACAGGAAGTATCCAAAGGTCTGCTCGGTCAGACCGTTCCTCAAGCTGACACATTACTTACAACTTTGCAGTACAGGTTTGTTTGCCGGAAATGACGGGCACTTCCGACATTACCCAAAGATTGATCGATAAATACTCACATCCTGTGGTTGAAACTTCCAGGACTCAAACTGCAGTCAGGCTCGGAACCCTGGATGCCTTTGAGACTTGCAAGCACTCCTCACCCAGGTCTAGTTTCCCTACCAGCTTGGTGAGGTCTCAAGATTTGGGACCACCAAACCATCATCCCATTCTTGGAACAGCTGGAGACCCACTGGCGCCAAGAAGCATCTTGGACATTTGCCCGAAGAAGCCTCAGGCTGGTACATTCTTGCCTTTGGTGACTTTGGTGCTGTTAAACCTGTGGAAACAACATGAAACAACCTGCTTTGGAAGCCACGGAATGATGGAATGATACCATCTTCCATATTGCTGACTGGCCCATGATTTCAGGGCTGCTCTACTGCTGACTTTGTTACTGCAACTTATGCCCTGGGATCCGCACTGAATTCAGGATCCACCGCCAGGCTTGCCAGACCCAAGCCCAACACGCCATCAAACTCGAAAGTCATGAAGGGCTCCTGTGGGGTAAAATGTTGACCCTTGGAATCTGGAAAATTCTCATGTCTTTGGTACAAGCCAAGGATGCCACAATTGGATACCGACAATTGCAAGCGGGCCCGACCAGATTTTTGTGCTTCATTGAGGCTCTGCAACTATAGTGAGATTAGGGATCCCGAAGCACACAGAATTGCACCAGGGTGCATTGCGTGCCCAAGTCAGATTTTCCAGCCAATCAGTTCATTGGATTGGTGGTTCAAGGGAAAATCTACACCGGACAACCATGGGTTTTTGCCATGAAACACTGTGAAATATGGAGGTTTCCTGTAAAAAGTCCCCTAAACCAATCCAATGAACAGCACATCTCCACCATCTGCTTCCCATCCGCTTCGCCTTGGTCATCTCGCTCGCCAAAATCACACGAAGCTCGGTGCAATCCTGCCCCCGTCGCAGGGCGACTGAAGGGCCAGCGACAAATGGATGTCGCAAGGCTCCAACTGTTTTGTTTGCAACGGGAATCTGAACTTCAAAATTCAGGAGTCAAGGAAAATACCACTATACAGTGAATGTCCATCACAACCTCCAATCCTCCATCTACCAATTTTCAGGGTCATTCTACAGGAGTCAGGTCCCTGCCCCCCGCACCTTGCGCGGAGTTTCCATGGCACCAGGAGTGAGGCAAACGGTTTCCCGCACAAACTCACCAGTCACCTCCAACCAAGGTCAGTGCAACCAGCATCTGATCGGAATCGACCGCACAAGAGGATCTTCTTCAAGATCGTTTTTCAAAAAACAAACAGGTGTTCCTTCCTCCTCACCCATTGTTTGGAACCTTAACCCCTTGACCTCAGACCTTCACAAAAAGGTTCCCAGTCCCATCTTCCCAAGATCCACACCTCTCCAGTGCCAAAGGCAATGTTCACCTGGTCCCGGCGCGTGGCGTTCTTCTTCACCGGGTTTCCATCGTGATCCAGGTCGATGGCCGAATCGGACATGTTGCCTGGCCGAAAATGAGCCAGATAAGGTGGCTAGACATGGTAATATGTACCCACTAAAAATGGGGATTTAAGCACTGAAACTTGGAATTCAATTGATTCATGATGGGTTTCTCAAGAAAATTGGTGCCTGTGGAGTATAATGGATCTTTGAGATGTGTGGGAGTTTGAGCAGAGTGTTGATATAGCATGACATAGCCATGTGCTCGCTTCAAAGTGAAAAACTGATTTGAGTCTGACAACAGCTAGCACAAGGTATGCTTCATATCATCTGTTCTGCCAAGTTGCGGTAAAACTGCCTGTGACGAGTGCCTGAAATGCTGAAGGGCAAGCTCTCTCGGGGAAAGCGACGGGTCACCAGGTCTTTTTTTGGAGCAGACTTTTGTTAACAATTCTGCACTTGTTGAGCCTTTGCCAGCAATGTGGTTCGGCTCATGTCATGTGTACACCAGTAGTTGAGGGCTGCAAGCACCTTAGCTTGTACCTAGTTATGAATTAGCCCCGGAATATGGGAAACCCAAAAATTGTCTGCAAAGATCTCTATTCTTTTTCCAATCCTATCAATTTGACCTGGCCATTCCCTGATCAATCCCTCCAAGATACAAGCTGGTGACAGGCAGGTGGCTGAAGGCACAAACAAATGAGCGCTACCTTGGTGACTCCGTTTGGGGCCCAACCTCTTGGCTGTCAGAACCTTCCAAGATTGGCCGGTGATGAAAATTGGAAGTACTCCACAAGGTTGAATCGAGTTTAGAATATATTCATCACAGCCATCAATAGACCAATCTATGCTCAATCCTCGTGTTGACTTGCTGAATTCGAATAATTACACAAAATCTAAAATATATATATATATATATCAGGTTCCTTGTTTTTCCATGTCTTTCCATGTCTTTCCTGGAAAGCAACGTGTCTAGTCTTGTTCTCACTCATTTGAAGCTGCGACGTGTTGTGACAATGCACCAAAAGTCGTTGCATGAATGCTGTCGTTTTCTGAACGAAGTGAATGCGCCGCACACATTCATCTATACAGATCCAACTGGGAAGTCAAGATGTTCAGGTTCAATTTGGCACTGCAGCAACTCTGGGTTTCGCTGAGTAGCCAGTGTCGAACACCACTGTAAAGGTTTGCTGCCTGGCACGGGGCAACACAGAAGCGAGGCTGCTGTTAGCAAACAAGGAGCATGGTGGGCATCTTGGGATGGGGATAAGGAGAGATGGTCATGGTGAGTTTAAAATGAATTAATTTAGGTATATTTAGGTAGTGTCCAACAATTGCACTCTTCTCTCCCAATTAGAGGTTTGTGAACTTCTGCTACAGTGGGAGTTGAAGAAGTGTTGAAGAAGTGTTGGAATCAAATGTCTTGAATAAGCAAGGGATGAGATGCTAATGACGAGATCTGTCAGGCTGGAGACGAAACACCAAACCAGTGGTTTTGCGGAGCACAAACCTCTCTAGCACCATAGTAAAAAAGTAAGACATGCACCTCGGGTGATGAGAATGTGTTCACAGCGGCACTAGTGACTCTCTCTATCTTTTTTTTCGGGTTCAATTTGCAGCATCACTCCAGCCGTCCTGGCTACGCCAAGGTGGATCTTGCCGAAGTAGGCAGTCTTGTAAGATACGATCTTTTCATTGCGGATGACGGGCACGTACCTGATAGCGCTGGCAAGATTTGATTTGAGCATCAGATTTGTAGGTTGCCAGTTTGTACCAGTTGTTGCTGGCAAAGGTTTTTCCGTAAATAATATAATTTTGGTTGTGAGTGAATGCACCTCAGCAATCCGCTATCACCAGTCAAATGATAGAGGCTGGTGGTTTTGAAGACCTGCTTGCCATCCCACCTTCACTTTTGATTGCCATCGTGGACGAACCCGAAACAATACTGGAGAACAGTTGCCATGCCGACCCATCAACCGGAGCAATAGAGGGTGTGCACTTACAAATTAAGTGGTACTGCGGGTACTTACGTACCCATGTCAGCTACAGTACTCATCGAGCAAACCAAAGTTCCGCATATTTCAGCCACGCCACTGCTTGTCCAGAGGAATGGTGGCAACTGGACCCGCCTCGCAACGATACGTGGAAAACTGGACTCTGGACGTCTGGAAAACATGGCAGAAACACTCAGCTTCCATGAGGATTCTGCACGAGTCATCAGCAAAACAATGTAGAAACAATCTGCTGCATCCCACTGCATTCACCATTCTGCCCACATCCTTGGCACTTCCCTCACATCCCCGTATCTAGCCTGAACAGTTCCTTCTCGGACAAGTCCTTGTGCCAAAGGCACAGAAGCGATGAAGAGCTTGAAGAACATGAAAGCGAAGATAGCCTTGGATTTTGCCCTCATCGCCCGGTCGTGAAGGTGATGGCAATCACCCTTCGAATGGTGTCTCAAAAAGTGACTCTGGTTTCAAGACTAGGGAACTACCAACTCAATAATATGGTGCAAACAAATGAGGCCTGTGTGTCAAAGATCTTAGGCCCCAAAAAACATATTGAAACTGATCAGTTTTCTTGGGGTTGAATTGTCTATTTGTCAGGGTACTCGGTACCAAATATGCATGCCCAACCATACCCGTATGTGCCCTGGTTGAAAGCTGGATAAATTGTACATCACATGCTGCTACAACGTGCTACAATGCCGCCAAGAAGGATTGATGCCCAATATATCCCAATATAATAAGGATTCAGAATCCTAGTACGTCCATTTATGGGATAGAGGACCACATCCCATATACCATCTTCTGACCATGGCAAATATATCCAACCAGGGTTAATACTATCACCAATACCGAACCAAGCGCCAAATTTTTTTGAGCCAAGTGACCATGGTGAGTCTCGCACGTGAGGTTTCGCGCGAAGTCACCAGAGAGGTACGGTACGCGGGGCGAAGCGCGCGCTGAGCCAAAATGGCCAAAAGAGCCAACGGTTCCAAATGGTGTCATTGAGAAAATAAATTGGAGAGTGGCTGGCAGTTTGATTGTGTTGCCGTAGTTGTCAAGTTTAACAGACGCTGAATTGCTCCAGGAGGTTGTTGAGAGACTGCTGGCGGCTTGATTGCGCTGCCATAGTTGTCAAGATTGAAAACGAAAATCAGAAAACGTATTCCATCGTATTCCATCATCAATGTTACGCTTCAAGAGTTCGAGGAACATGGCTGTGATATTCGGTGTTGGATCTGTTTGCGACAGCAACTGCAGAGCTGGTTTGGTGGCACAGTTCGTTCGCTTGTTTCAGTGTTTCTTGACTTCTGTATTTCTGCCAAGACGCGACTCTGATCTACTCGCACCTGACAGGGAAGTGTGGCAGGCATGTCCCCTGTTTGCCGATTGTGCCAAGAAATTTGTGATGCAGCTGCTGGAACAGGAACTGCTCTGTTTCAGTATTTTTTTGCTGTACAGGCGAGATCCGTGGAGATCCTATGCTCAATGAGCAGCTAAACTCAGTGTCGTGTGAGCAGCGTGCTGACAAGACACAAATATCAAAAGACCTTTGTGCAAATCATGTCGTGGGCAGTGTGCCGACGAGATCAAGACAAGGAGATGATACAAAAATGGGATAGCTGCAAGATTTTGGTGCTGCTATACAATCTTGACTATATATGCACCAGCAGGGTTTCAAGGGCTCTCTCATAAATAAACACAATCCCTCTCAGATCGAAACACGTCGGGGATTCAAACCACCACGGTGCGCTTCAGTCGTTGACTGAGTCACGGAATCGCATGCCCGAAGTCGCGGGACAGCGCATAGGAAAGTCCTTGCAATCACCAAGGTCATGACCAAATCTTCGTCCTCAGTATCAGGCTGGCTCTCATCAGCGTAGACAGCTGGCTCGAGCACTTGCCGCGTCTTCACGCGAGCTCCATCACGGCAAGGGATGTCACTGAGCGAGGCCTGCACCAAATACTCCAAGCTCTCGGACACGATCACGTCATAGGGCCGAAGCGGAAGGCCCTGCTGCGCAATGGTGGCCATGGTCGCCTCAAATTGCCATGGATGGACAAAGATTTTGGCCCCCGATTCATGCAACCACTGGAATCCCGCTTTCATCAAAGCAGTCCGGCAAGCGTCCAGATACATTCCCGAAACCAGGGCCCGCTGAAATTTGTCGGAGTGCCTCTGATACTCCAGTAGATAGACTGAATCTTCAGTGTGGACTGTGTTCTCCTGGTTCTCCTGTTGGGCCTCAGGTCTATGTGTCCGAATCAGGGCTTCTACATGATCTGCCCAGTCCTGCTCCACCTGCATGGCGGCAAGCTCAGGCACCCGTTCAGCAGGTGGCTCATGGTGTTCAATATATTGGATCACCTCATGGCCTTCGGGATCAAGCAGTCCATTAGCAGAAACGGAATCTGGCTGTGGCGCCTCCACTTCCTCAAAGCTGAATGTCAGCATTTTGCCTGGAATGGGAAGATAACTCGCTGACCCAAAAAAGGACGGCACTGTGGCCCCGCACTTGCCTTGAAGCTTCTGGCAGACAAGCTGCTGAAGGACCCTGACAAATTGAATCTTCTGACCCAATTCTTCAACAGAGCCCTTAAGCTCTTCTCTGGCAATCCGTGCTTGCAACCACGGCTCATGCAGCGCTCTGATGGCGAGCAAATTGAAATTGCAGGGACGCGGTACGAATGACACCCTTGGAACAGAGAGCTTCGGATCACTCTTCAAGCGGCGAGTTACTCCTGAGAATGCCTGCAACAGGCGGAGCAAACGCTCAGTACCCACAGAGAAAACTTTCAAAAGTTCCCTGGTCCCGTCGATTTCTTCGTTGGTCAAGGCCTCTGCCCTGCTTCGCTCCAGTGACATGAAGTCAGGAGGAAGATGCCCATCTGGCTCTAGGCTACAAAGATCCTTGTGGTAGCTTGTCACTTCAATGGTGCTGTCTGGCCCGTGAGCCAAATGCAGCGGCTTGTTGGGCTCAAAGGCGCACACACGGCCACCAACAACACAGAATCTCATCAAACAGTTGGGCATGGTGCATCTGAACCTGCGACGTTCCCCAAGATGAGTGGTGCCCCCATTTGAGAGGTCAAGGGTATCGGGCTCCTCCACCTGCTGCATGGAGTCGTTGCGCATGGATGCGCCCAGGCAGGCGTGGATCAGGGGACTGTTTGGGAGCCAACAGCTGAAAACGGGCAGCACAAACTCTGACTGGAGCAGGAACCAAAGATCTGATAGTGGTCAGAAGCAAAACAATGAGCAGACAATAATAATTGCATCCCACTGGACGGTTTCTGACAAACCATCCCACTTGTACCTGAACCATCCTGAACCTCAAACCTTGCACACTTTCCAAGCTCCACATTTCCATCGAGCCCTGCCTAAACAATTCCTTCTTGAACAAATCTTTGTGCCAAAGCAATGCATGCAGCCACAAGCTTGAAGAACGTGCCAGCAAAGATCACCTTGGAACACGCGTGAACCCTTGGTCGCCTATAGCAATCACAAGCTAATGGTGACCAGCCTTCTGATGTTTTTGCTTATGTGGTTTCAAGGCCAGGGGCAAACAAGAGTACGTGTGGCTGAACCAACCCCACAGTGGTAAATTCAAAGCTTTCTGTGTTTGTATTAAGAGTCTCATGCACGCAATGCATGTGTCAAAACCTGCAATGACCGTCAAACCCACACGTTGGCGTTTTCTGAAACACCTATTCCAAAGGGTCTCCAAGGGATGAGATAACCCCACATGTGTGGCCTTCCATGAAAACAAGCATTTGATCAGATGAGTTGCATGGAACACAGAGATAAAACAATTCTAACTCCAGTTCTTCCGTGAATACCATGAATTCATCAGGGTTCCCCATCAATCATGACACCGGGTCACCACAAGGATTTGCCCATCCCTCAAACCCCACCCTGACCTCCATCAAAGTCGCATTGCCGGATTTCCTTTCAGAGGAGAGCCACGGCATCCGGCAATCTACGAAGCACAAACCCTCCTGGGAGGGCTCGAGGTGAGCATATGAAGTGCTGATAGGTCACTGTTCCGTGCAAAAAAATGAGAGTCAAACCCCATATCCACACAGCCGGGCGATACTGATCACTGGAAATGACGCGACTTGACCCTGATTTGCAACATTTGAGTTCTCTTTGGAGCCGAACATGAATCGCAAAAGTGGCAGCTAAGGTTCTTTGGAAGGTGTGAAACAATACCTATTGGGACTCATCCTAGTTGGTTTGTCCGGCAGTCCGCAGCATTTTTTCACTCCTCGATCTCCCCTCAAGCTATACCATTCAGAAGATGGTTTGGTGCCCCAATTCCCAAAGGAACCCCATTCCAACTGAACCAACTTTGGGGTTCAAAATTTTCTCCTCGATCCTTCAAGAGTTTTTTGCACTTATCCCAAACATGGGTCATTTTTTTGAAGCATGCAAGTTTGGATACCCAGTTTTGACCCGGTCTTGACCCATGTTGACGCAGACCCAATTGTAACATGGGTTCAGCCAAACAACCATGGTGATCCACGCACGGGGAACCCCGGGTGGACCCCGTGCTGAGCCAAAAATTACCCGAAGAGCTTATAGGTGCAGCAAATCAAATCGAAAACAAATTCATTCAAATACCTGCGCTGCAAGTTTAAATTATGCGATGCAATCGCGCAGTGCCCCTCAAATGCATTGAGATTGCCACATGCCTCACAATCGGATAGTTTCTCTTGGTATCCTCCAAGGTTTCACAACCCAATCCTACCAGTAGTGCCGCGCAAGCCGGTGGCGGAAGTTTCAAAAATAGGAAACCTATAGGCGAGGTTGGTTGTTGCGAATCACTGATGGTAGAGCGAATCCACTGATGAAACGAAAGGTGGTTGGAGTTGTGTTTTTTGGAGTGGCTGCAATGGTTGCAGCGGTCACCTCACCACAACTGCTGGATGTACTGTGGTGTAGCGCAATTGTAGTTGCAGTCGTTGTTGTAGTGTAGTGTAGTGGGGTTGTAGTTGTAATGTAATGCAATTAGCGTAGTGTAGTTGCAGCTGCAGTTGTAGTTGTAGTTGTGGTGTGGTGTAATTAGCGTAATGTAGTGCACTTTTCTGTAGTGTTGTGTGCTGTAGTGAGGTGTAGTGAGGTGCAGTGAGGTGTAGTGAGGTGTAGTGTAGTGTAGTGTAGTGTAGTGTAGTGTAGTGCAGTGCAGTCTAGTGCAGTGCAGAGCAGGGCAGTGTAGCGTGCGTAGCGGTAGTGTAGTGTAGTGTAGTGTAGTGTAGCGTAGTGTAGGGTAGTGTGTGTAGCGCAGTGCAGTGCAGTGTAGTTGTAGTTGTAGGTGTAGGTGTAGGTGTAGTGTAGTGTGATTAGTGTAGCGTAGTGTAGTTTAGTCTAGTGTAAGGTAATGTAATGTAGCGTAGTGTAATGTAATGTAATGTAATGTTAATGTAATGTAACGTAATGTAGTTGTAGTTGTACTTGTAGTGGCAGTTCCAGGTGTAGTTGTAGCGTAATGTAACGTAATTCGTGTAGTAGTGTGGTGTTGTGTAATGTAGTGTAGTTGCAGTTGTAGTTGTATTTGTAGATGTAGCGTACTGCAGTGTAATTAGTGTAGTGTAGCGTACTGAAGTGTAGTTGAAATTGTACTTGTACCTGTGGTAGTAGCAGTAGTAGTTGTTGTTGTTGCTGCTGTTGTTGTTGTTGTGTAATTAGCGTCGCGTAGTGCAATTAGATTAGATGTAGTTAGTGTAGCGTAGTGTAGTGTAACTAGTGTAGTCTAATGTAGCGTAGTATAGTTGCATTTGTAATTGTAGTAGTAGTAGTGTCGTGTAGTTGTAGTTGTCTACCTATCTATCTGTCTATCTGGAAGCTTGAAAACGAAGCTATTGCGCGAGACTTCCTCAGTTTTTGAACTTGACAACATCAAAAACGCGGCAATTCTGCGAAACTTCCTGATTTTTTGAACTTGCCAGCGTCAAAAACGAAACAAGTCTGCGAGATTTCCTCAATTTTCAAAGTTGACAACATCAAAAACAAAGCAATTCTGCGAGACTTCCTTCAAAGATGGAAAGTTGAGTGCAGAGCTGACGGCCTCGTACCAATGCGTTTTGCGATTTGTCCACTCCATCTGTCTAAAGTACTGTGCCTGCAACGAAAAAGTGACGCCAGGTCATACAAAGTGCTGCACCTGTCACGCAAAATCATCTTAGCAAACCTGAAGATCTGATGCTCCACCTCTCAGGAAATCAGCGCCCGGACCTCCTAACATCTCTGATGAACATGTCTCTTGTACTGCGCCTGCCACTCGGAATGCATCTTTGCAAATCCTCTTCAAATGTCCCACGCCTGCCATCGTTTTTTGACATGCTACAAAACCATCACGTTTTGCTCACTTTTGGCAAGGTGCACAACCCCTTACGCCTGCCGCACGCAACGACATCTGAACGTCCAAAAGTGGTCCGAGACCGTCAGTTTTTAGCAAAATATGCTTCGCGCCACAACGGCGTGCACTTTTCCGACAGCTCAATTCCTAAAAGCGCTCCGAAGCTGAGGTGCTTTGTACATGTTGACTTCGAAATGTGCTTCGCGCCACAACGGCGCGCACGTTTTCGACATCTCAACTTCCAAGAGTGCTCCGAAACTGTCAGTTTTTAACACTTTTGACTTTGAAATGCGCTTCGCGCCACAACGGCGTGCAATTTTTCATCTCTCATCTGGCCAGATGGCTCCGCACCCGCCGCTTTAGCGAGCCTACGTTTCGACCCTCCGGAGCCACAAATTATGGAAAAAAAGTGAATCGCGATTTTTTACCTTTTCCCGCACCTGCAGCTTCTTTCTTCTTCTCTTCTCTTCTCTTCTCTTCTCGTCTCGTCTCTTCTCTTCTCTCCTCGTCTCTTCTCTTCCCTTCTCTTCTCTTCTCTTCTCGTCTCTTCTCGTATCTTCTCGTCTCGTCTCTTCTCGTCTCTTCTCTTCTCTTCTCGTCTCGTCTCGTCTCTTCTCTTCTCTTCTCGTGTCTTCTCTTCTCGTCTCTTCTCGTCTCTTCTCTTCTCTTCTCGTCTCTTATCGTCTCTTCTTTTCTCTTCTCTTCTCGTGTCTTCTCTTCTCGTCTCTTCTCGTCTCTTCTCTTCTCTTCTCGTCTCTTCTCTTCTCGTCTCTTCTCTTCTCTTCTCTTCTCGGCTCGTCTCTTCTCTTCTCTTCTCTGACTCCTTCCACCTCTGCTTTTCCATTTGTCCATATTGTCGGAAGTTTAACTTCCAAACTTCCTTCGGTTGCCCCCACGCAGCCAAGACCATGATCAGAGATCCTCAGGCGAATGTCTGTCCCACGTGAAAGTACTACATGGGAATGAGTCAAAACCTCTGATGCCAATTTTGGGGGGATGAACATCCACATATCCCAGCTATTATTATTATGGGGTTCACCAGGGTACTGATCTGGTTTTGGCTCATACCCGCATCATTTTTCCGCTCTGTTGATGGGCACGTTCCAAGCAGCCTTGAAATCAGCTGGTTCCGGCCAGATTCCATTAGCTCCTCTTCCTGGTGTAGCACCCTGTCTTGGCACTGAGATAAACTAAAGTTTCGAAGGCTTCTGGTATAAAAGGCCTCAGTAGCCTTCAGCTAAGCACTAAATGCACCAATTCATGCGGTGCCCATTCTAGCTGTACACTGTAAGCAATTCTGTGTTGTCTGAAGCCTTGGAAGATCAATGGCGCACAGGGCGCACATGACAACTAGACCACTTTTCTGACACAAACATCGGATGAGATTTGGGAGGCTCAGACAAGTTCAACCAAATCTATGCTCCTTTTAAAAGTGAATTGCACGCGCTGCGTTTGCGGACCGATTCTATGAAGTCCTTTTGACTCAGAATGCATCTGCAGCTCCTCAAGCTGTGAATGAAGGCATTGAAATCCTTGGATCCTTTGCTCAGAACATCTGCATTCCCGAGGCAAATGAGGCCATACTTAGCTCGGGTGATGGCCACATTCAACACCCGGTAGTTCTCGAGGATGCCCAGACTTGTCTGGTACATCTCCTCCATTAGCAGGATCTCTCAACAGGAAACTCTTGCGCACTGCTGGAGGGTCGTATAGTATAGAGGGTGCCACCCCCAAACCCAATATCACAAACTCAGGGGAAAAAACATGGGCTCGCTCATTCTTAATCCGTATACTTACTAGTGAGGTCTGTCTCCTAGTTGAACTCATTGTTGTTCCTGAATCTGCCACCTAGCCAGTCTAGCTTCCAGGTAGCAACCATCATCATCCTCAACCCCATTCATGAAGAATCACAATTTCCTCAAGACTTAGCACCGTCTGAAACCTCGGCATGGCTCTCCGCCCAGCTCCTGCAGCGCCACGGAGTCTCCGGCTGTCTTTGCCACGGATGTGACGACCTCCTCGTCCTGGGACGTGCTGCGGACGAAGCTCACGATGATGTACTCGCGCTCGGAGCCCTGCAGGCGGCGGTTGGGGCGGCCATGGAAAAACCACGGGTGATGGGCTATTCTTCGTTGCAACAAGTCACCCAACATTGGCAAGGACTCAGCATTGGAAGATTGAAGTGGCCTGCAGAGCATGCACGGTGCCCACCAAGATGGACTTTGAGTGAGAGCCAACATCTTTGTCTCTTGCCAACCTGCACCACTCAAATGGGATCAGTGCCCATGGCATGTGCAGCTAGCAGCTAGTTATACAACAACCCTTTATAGAGACATATTCTTCTTCAGCCAATGAGACAGGACAAAATGCTTACGGTGTTGCTTGGGTGGTTCAACTTTGGCTGGTCTCTGCCATCTAGGATTACTTGGGGCTCATCACGTGAAATGAAATGTTCCCCCTCAACACCTTGTGGGGAAAGTGGCTTTCGGGTCGTCTTGAAACAGCAAAGAGCATCGAAAACCCATGGGGGTCATCTGCACAAGCTCAGCACAGGTCGAAACAAGCCCTGCCTGGCACGAACCTCATGTTGCTGGGCTTTGTATGGCGTGATCACGGCAATGTCTCGTGGATCGCATCTTTGCCGCAGCAGCGCTGCACAGGCGGCCACCACTGATCGAGCTTCTCCCACGTTTTTAAGGGACACCTGAAGGGGCACTCAAAGAAGGAATTCTTCCCAGTGGACAACCAGGTCAATAGAAACAATTAACTCAACAACTTGTGGACCGATTCTTCGCAACATGACTACAAGTCCTGTGTCTGCACCCCAATGTTGTTTGCCAACCATAGCGCATGCGCTCAAAACACCGGAAGTTCTCAGGTATTCCCGTTTGTTCCATAAAGCCCTTACACATCTGGATAAAGTTTGATGCCTTGCCTTGCTCTCCATCAACGCCACATCACAGGTGCCAGTCAGCTCTGGTGAGAGGCCCATGGATTGCGGCGTCTGGCAATCGATGAAGATCCGATGATCCTGTAGCATGCGCAGCTAAGCATCAAAAATATCATTTTTTCAGCTTGCGGGGCATGTGACTATCTAGTTAAGCTAGTGGCACACAACATACCGCGGCCGTATACAGCCGCTCCTCGGCATGCGGCATAAGGGTCTTAATTGCTGATATGGGGGATATCATGGGCATTTGTTTGTTTAATACGTTGAAACTTTCGCGATCATCCCAGTTCCTTCTTCTGTGGCCAGATGCCGTTCAGCTGCGGCCGATGAGAGATTGACACCCGATCCTCCAGCATAGACTCATAGAACTGCGATGACGGAAAGCTCCGGATGGACGGGTGCATTCGATACCTGGGTGGCTTAAGATGTCTCCAAATGCACAACAGAGATAAAACTTGTCGTTTCGCTTGCAGACCAATATGAGCGCCTTCCCTGCTCTCAGTGTTTCTTTGAAACTGCGTAGGACTCTACTGGCTGGTTCCAGGCAGCTTGCCCAGCTATCTGAAGTGTGAAGCTAGGTTCCAACAACATGTCATTCAACAAATTCAGGTCAGAATTAAGCAATCAAAGTCTTCGGGGTTTAGTTGAAAGGAGGGTGAAAATTCAGCTAGCCACAGGATACAAGGTTGATACAAAATAAAGGATCAAAGATGCACTTGTTTGATCTCTTTTGGATTGGCAAATTTTGATCCACCATCACAAACCTTTTTGGGCATCAAAAAAAACCTTTCCACATCCAACAAACATACTTAAAGAACTCGAAGGCTTAGACGTGTGATTTTGTGACAAACGGGACACTTTGGAGCCAAAATGTTTTGATCTGGGCGGTGCTAGGAGGGACAGTGGCAGGAGGACGTCGCCACCCAAAAGATTGTGGTTCAAACAAGGTTCCCTTTCTTAACTTAAATTTCTATGATTCATTAAATTATATTAAAATACCAAAACTGTTTTTGGGTGAATGATTAATGCCGAAATGTTGTGATTAAGATTCTTACCCCATTGTTGTGTCTGGGTCCCACAATTATTGTGAGATCTTCTGAGCTCCGGCGAAGTTGCTGTTCATTCAGCATGGTGCTCGTCATTGAGCGCTGAGAGTTTTGGTGCATCCTCTCCAAAAACGGAGTCTCCAAAGCGCTGACATAAGGAGCACACAAGCTGTGCTCTGTCACCACAGGGCCTGGGGGGAGGTGCGTCTTTGGGCTCCAAAAGGACGCACAGAGCAAGCGAAAGCATGGCAGCAAATGTAGTACGTTTAGCCATGTATCAGCTGACCCCGTTTGACAGCACAGGGTAGCGAGGGGATATTGAAAGCGCATGCCAACGCCCTAGGTACTAGCCAACAAGCAACCTCTGAACAATGATTCAATTGTATTCAAAACCTATGTGTATATGCCTATGTTCTATCTATTTCTTTGTAGACATTTCACCTTGGATGATATACGGTCTTCGCTTCCGGATGCCGCAGGACGCCCATGATCTTTTGAGGCCCCGCCCCCAGCCTAACTGTTTGTGATCTCCCACCACGATGACACGGCAGTTGGCTGACGTGGCCGGCAGGACGATGTCTGGTTCGCTGGCCTGCGCCGCTTCATCGATGACGATGCTGTCAAAGCTCACTGGGCGAACCACGTGGGGCGGTTCGCCCTTCACCAGAGCTGTATGGAGATAAGCCTCGGCTGCTTGGATTGCTTGGTCACCCGGGATGTGTTTTTCTTTGCACCCATAGTGAGTCTTATGTTGTAGCCAGTTGGCTTGATGCACCCCAAAAACTCCCCGACGCAAATCTAAGGACAGCTCTAGTCTAGCTGAGCAGCGGTCGTGAATGTGATCACGATTTGGCTGTCGCGTCCCAGTGTAAAGGGGGATCTGTTTTCAGGTGGTCCCTTTCTCTGAAAACACCAGCATTCCTATTTCATAGACGTATAAGGCACAGGTTTTGACTCAGTTGGGTCGATGTCTCCAGAGCCACCAACAACCACTCTCTGAGATTCAGCCAAGATGCACTCGCACATGTTGTGATCACAATGCGGCTATCACGAAGGATTTGCACCTCTCCAGATTCATAAGATTTGTTGAAGGTGCCTTGACTCCTTCCCCAGGGGAGAAACTTCACCTGAGCCAGTTTCGACATGTGAAATGATCACTTGGGCACAGCGCTTTCCCCACCTTCGCACTGACTTTGACATAGTTCTACTGGGATTGAGAAAACCCGAAACCTTGCACAAAGGAGGTATGAAGGACATCCATGATGCCTTTACGTGGACGAACTCAACACAACATGCAGTATGAAAGATTTCTGGAGTTAGTGAGAAGAAATTTAGTGATGCTGTAGTAAGATCTTGTTTTATCTTTTTTTGAGATGCACGGCCCTATCCGGTGCATCTAGATCGATCCTTTAGACAGCTGGCCTTGGGGGACTGACTCACTTTCCAGTGGAGTGCGTGTTCTTGGAGGTGCAGTTGAATCTCAAACCTTCCCTCTGACTTCGTTGTCCTCAAATGAAGCACCGCTTTTCCGTTGAAAGGAAAATGTGGAGGGTAAGCCAACCCCAAATCAAGGCCAAGAGTTGGCGAAACACAAATTCTTTCTTAGCAAATCTACGTTGTCCCACCCTTGTACCCGCTTCCATGGCATCTTTCAATAAACCTCGAATATACTCGCGTCACGTAGTGGGCCGGTATGCCAGCACTCATCAATCTGTCCAAGATGTGGTCGGCCGCGTGATTGGATGGTGCACAGACCAAGATTCGGCCATCTGAGCAGCAAATTCAAAACCCACCAAGCATCCTTCTGATCTGTGGTCTGTAGTTATAAGACGGCCACATGTCAAACAATGATTCCGTTAGTATGTTCTGTTGAGCCTTGTGTGGCAATACGAATACCCTAAAACCACTTGGTTGGCTACCAATTTAATCCATATGTCTCAACCTGCCAGAGGTCAAACAATGCATGCATTTTGCGCCAAACCTGCCTTTCCAACGCGGTCTTGAGGCTGTCAAGAGAGCAGCAACGCACTGAACGAGCATGGAGGTCTTGCCCGTCCCTGGAGGCCCTTGAACCATTGAGAACGGCCGCTGCAGGGCCCTCTGAATGGCCAACGTCTGCTTTCCATTCAGCTTGCTTTTGGAGGTCGAGTGCATTGCATGCGTCACCTACCAAGGGCGGACAGGCAGAATATTCAAAGAAAGGCACGACTGGCTCATCGTTGGATGGGTTTAATTATCATGGCTGGGTTTGTGGCACATCCTCGCCTCTGAGATACTGACCAAGGGTCGCATCTCCATCTCCCTTTTGATTTCCTTTGTGCTTCTCGGAATGGTCAAGCGCATGCCTTGCAACGGGCAAGACCTTGGCATGTCTTGCAGCAGTTGGATGCATTTCTTCTCGTTGGGAGGGATCAAGATGAAGTGCAAACGCCAAGTTGAAGCACCATCCAAGCTGAAATCCTGTGCTTGCCGGGCAAGTTCGGATATTTTTGATAGCTCCACCTGGACAATGAAACTCTTCTTGCCATCTTCCACACCCTGCATCTGATTTGTTCCCTTCGCCTTCAAAAGGATTCCCTGTAAGCTGATGGGTCTACAAGCACGCTCCAAGCTTAGAACCACCAAATCGCCTGGCTGGAGCCGTTGGTACTGCAATAGCTTCACCTCGACTTGGCATTCGAAGTGCGAAGTGCCCCTGGTGCGGAACCACTTCAGGTCGTTCACAGAAGTTGCTGAGGTGTATGCATCGCTGGACAGTGCTGCAGCGTGGACCTAGAAGCAAAAAACAAGGCGGGTGTCATGCACATTCTTCCACAAGAACAGAGTGCTATGAGCCGGCCGCCTTGTGCCGCCTTCATCAAATAACTTACCCCCATCCCCCACTCATTTGCACAAGCCAACTGCACCTGGCACAGTTTGATCCGGGACCACACCTGCAAATGGGCGAAGAACATCAAGAGCCAGACGTCGCAGGCGACCGCCCAGAACCAGAACCACAAAAATTACTTTACTTCGCGTGATCCCCACCATGACATTTATCGATTTGTTACTGGCAAATCTTCTGGCATTCCATCTGACATTCTACCTGGCTTATCTTCTGGCATTCTACCTGGCATATCTTCTGGCATATGTTTTGGCATATCTTCTGGCATACTATCTGGCATTCTATCTGGCATATCTTCTGGCATCCTATCTGGCATTCTATCTGGCATTCTATCTGGCATATCTTCTGGCATTTTATCTGGCATATCTTCTGGCATTCTATCTGACATTCTATCTGGCATACCTTCTGGCATTCTATCTGGCAAATTTTCTGGCATATGTTCTGGCATATCTTCTGGCATTCTATCTGGCATTCTATCTGGCATATCTTCTGACATCCTATCTGGCATTCTATCTGGCAAATCTTCTGGCATTCTATCTGGCATATCTTCTGGCACTTTATCTGGCATAACTTCTGGCATTCTATCTGGCATATCTTCTGGCATTTTATCTGGCATATCTTCTGGCATTCTATCTGACATGCTATATGGCGTTCTATCTGGCATATCTTCTGGCATTCTATCTGGCCGTTGAGGTCCAGCGGTGCACACTGAGCTGGGAAAGCCCAGGTTGAGGTCCAGCGGTGCACACTGAGCTCGGAAGGTCCAGCGGTGCACACTGAGCTCGGAAGGTCCCAGGTTGAGGTCCAGCGGCGCACACTGAGCTGGAAGGTCCCAGGTTGAGCACACTGAGCTGGAATGCCCCAGGTTGAGGTCCAGCAGCGCACACTGAGCTGGGAAGGTCCCAGGTTGAGGTCCAGCAGTGCGCACTGAGCTGCGAAGGTCCCAGGTTGAGGTCCTGCGGTGCACACTGAGCTGGGAAGCTGGCAAAGAGCTTGGCGAAGAGAGTTGGCAAAGAGCTTGGCGAAGAGTTGGCAAGGCGGAAGTGGAGGTGGAAGTTGATGCAGACATGGTCGAGGAGAAACTGGAGGAGGAGGGGAGGAGGACGAGGAGGAGGGGGACAGCTAGCCGAGGAGGAGAACAACTCTGATAAAATCTAACAACCCCCACCTGGCAGGTGGGGAAAAACTGTCTCAATCAGCTGTTGCAAGGCGAGAAGAGCTATTCATAGCTCCATTCATCCCAGATTCACCTTCGCAGAAGTACTGGGTTGGCTGGATAAGTTGAATTTAAAGTCTGATCCGGTCACACACCGAAACGATTTTGCTGCCTGCTCAAGTGTGCAGCCAGATAATCTACCTCCGACCCCACCTGCGAGTAGGTCTCCATCTTGCGGTCCAGCAAGGGCCAATCCGTGAGGTCCGGCCAAGAGGAGAAGGATTCCGGAAAGCTCTTCAGACCGGTGGGAAAGATGAAGTCCTGTCAAACAACCGGTCAGTGCAAAATGGAAAGAAAAACCAAGAAAACAATCAAGTCCTGCCTGCTAGTACTTCCAGCTGACTGTCAATATCAAGCCGGGACGTATATCTCACATGTCCATAGAGTTTAAGTCAACGGCTGGCAGTCGGTTGATTTCGGGCTGCTGATTGCTCTCTCATTCTTGTTGACGGCTGGCAATGCTATTTGTCTTCTCAAACCCGACTTCTGTTCCAAATCCAATTGTTTATATTGTTTTTTTGGCTCATACAGTCAGCGGTAATACCCTAGCAAAGTCCCACGATTGTGCGATGCGAGGCAGGAAATCAAAGTCCAAAATTATATATGAATCATATGAGTTTATAGTTTCTCCGGGTAAACTGATTTTCCTCGTGCTATGAAAATTTCTCAGAGTCTGACATCTTCAAGCAAAGCACCAGTGTCCTTCTCTCCGTGGAACTTGATTTCCCAAAGCACGATGGAGTTGGGGCTGGCATGGTGCGGGATGGGCTGGGCATAGTTGCGAGCGATCACGCAGGTCATTCGTTGGGCAAACCATGAGCGAATCCGCAAGGTCTCCAAATGATCCCTGTCCACGCTCCGACCAGCCATTTCAATTAAAAAAGGCATGTGAGCAAGTCTTGATACCCTGAAATCCCTGTACACTCGAGACGTAGACAATCCATGGTTTCTTTGATCTTCAGAAGCACGTGCATGCAACTGTCCCGTTGTGGCACGTACTTGACAGGACGTGCCCGCCTGTCATTCTGCATTGTGAGTTTGATAGACTGGGTGACCGCATCGTACTCTGAGACACAGGCGGAACTGCAAAAGGAGCTCACCGGCACTTGGAGTTCCTCGGAGCTCTGGTACTGCATGAATCCATGTCGGAAATGGAGATCTATGCTAAGCTTGTTCTATTACCCATCTCATGAGAAAAACCCTTCCATGATCTTCCATGTGTGTTCAATCTTGCATGTGAGACTCCAAAGTGTGTGCCTTCTCAGACGGAACCAAGATGTTGATATAGGTAGGGCCAACTGCTCCAATCACGGCATCCGAAACCTTCTGGCCACTGCCAGACAGCTCTCGCATCCTTAGTGGAAAAATGTACTTAGAAAATATCTCAAAATCACTCAAATAAATTTGAGCTTTACACATGCTCCAGATGTCCTGCTTTGCTTCGTGATAGAAAATCAACGATACCCACTAACACTACTATTGGGTGCTGTCGATGTATATCAACAACCTCTGTCCAGGTTCACGAACCATGCGTTCTGGTGCTACATCGCTACATAATTTCGTCCCAAGTACATGACTGTGAAAGTGTAGTGTCTTCTCCTGTATCCTTTACAGCAATTTGAAGATCCTGACGAGAATTCGCATCGATTCCATATGCGTTTTAGTTCCTGTGTAAGCTGAAGTGCCAAAAGCCAAAGCGCATGAGGATCTAGGCCAAACGGCCAAACCATGATGTTTGACCTTGTTAGTGAATATTCAGGAACAGAACCGGTATCTTTTCTGCGAGGGAAATGTCATGAGATTGGATTGTGATAAGTTGCTTCAGCCGAGAATCCTGGAGATGGTCCGAAAGATGTGCCGCCCGAAGCTTTCTGCAGCAATCCTGCAGTTGGTCCGAGCGACAGCCTCCCCCAAGTCCCTTCGAGAAAGCAGGAGATGAGGATTCGAAGCAGTCCATCCAAGCTGAGACTTCAAAGCTCTCATCCCCAAAATGTCGATGTAGCGATGCAACGGAGACGTAACCTCAGTCTTGCAGTGCACATAAGATGTTTGCCGTGCTCAGCAACGGCACGGGATTATGCGGCATTGAGATTTGTTCAGACCCGGTTGCGATCCGCAGAATTTAGCATGATTGGGGGGTAATGTATGATTGAGTTGATCTTGATGACCATAGGCCTGGGTTCTCTGACCCGGAGGAACTGAAACTGGCGTTCAAACCAAATCCAAACTGCTTTTCACTAAAGGTTCACACCATGGCCTTTAGGCAAATGCACTGTTTTTGCTGCACCGTTTGGCATTGTAAAAAATATGTGTCTTTTTGACCTCAGACTGAGCGCGCAACGTGGAATCGGGGCTCCGGATGCCACCAATCGCCTGTGTTACTGGAATATTCACTCGATGCTGGGATGACCTCGTAGTAAGCAGCTGGAAGTGCAGCATGCAAACGCCGGAGGAAGGAAGAGCGCATGGCATGCTTCTGCGCATTCGTGAGCCCCGGTTGCTGCAATATCTCTCTCAGCGTCTCTATCACATCCTGAGAGGAAGGAACACTGGATGCTGGCTGAGCGGATAAAACTTGGAAAATTAGACTTGACTCAGCCTTGAACAAGTCTTCTAAAAGTTCTCAAGTGCTCCAAGTGTCCTCTATGTGGATGTCCTTGTCTCGGTCACTCTGTTTGACCCGAAGCAACCGCTCGATGACCTTCCGTGTGCTAGGTTCAGCCCGGCCATGGACGTATCTCACCGTGAGCTCTGCATCTTCCTCGTCGTGCAAGAGCTTTTTCCAGGCATCAGCAGTCAAAGTTGTTCCGATGTAACGCTCCACCGTGGAGATGCAGCTGTGCAAGAGTTGCTGCGTCGCTAAAAGTGGACCTGGAATGGAAACCGCCTCAGTGAAGCAACACCATGGTATGCAAAGGGGATCAAATTTGTAGTTTAGGAAGTGGACAGTATTCCAAAATCAAATCGGCGCTAGAAAATAAGCTTCGGTGGTATGACCAACAGCCGCAACGTTGTATCCCATTGAACCTGACTTAGCTTTGCACCAAGGCTTCCTGGAACCTTCTCCGGAATCTTCTCCGAAACCCTGTTGAACCTGACCTGGCTCTGCACCAAAGCCTCCAGGGCCTTCTCCGGAACCTTCTCCGGAACCTTCCGAACCGAACCGAAAACGACCAGGAACCGCAGGAACCGAAACCGAACAGGAACCGAACCGGGCCTATACCAAATCCGCCCGCACCGAAGGTGCCGAGGCGTTTTTTGTGTGCCTGCGTGAACCGTTAGCAATTGCATTATAGCTAATAAGTTTTAGCTTGGGGGGGGGGCATTTTTGCTCTAGAATCCTGTGTTTTTGCATGTTTTTCAAAAGGGGTCAAAATTCTTGATCTGGGCCAATATAGGCCAAAAATGGGTCAAGATAGGCCCAACATAGGCCCAACATGAGCCTAAGATAGGCTCACATGGGGCCAACATCCAACATACCCTCATATGGGGCCAAGATAGCCTCATACGGAGCTAAAAAGTGCCCAATAAGTGCTAAAAAAACGTTCAATATGGCCAAACATCCTCCAAATGGGCTCCATATAAGCCCAACACGGGGAACACAAGTCTGAAGCACGACGAACTCCTTAGACTTCCCGACTCCATTACACTTGGTGCGGGCGGTTTTCGTCGCGAAGCGACCGTGAAGACTAGAACCGAAACCGAACCGAACCGAACCGAAACCACACTGAACTTGACCTGGCTCTGCACCAAAGCTTCCCGGATCCTTGTCTGGAACCGCACCAACGCCTTCAGACCTTCTCCGGAACCTTCTCCGGAACCCTGTTGAACCTGGCCTGGCTCTGCACCAAAGCCTCCCAAACCTTCTCCGGAACCCTGTTGAACTTGACCTGGCTTTGCACCAAAGCCGCTCAAACCTTCACCGGAACATTCTCCGGAACCCTGTTGAACTTGACCTGGCTCTGCACCAAAGCCTCCGTCCGGAACCCTGTCTCCGGAACCCTGTTGAACTTGACTTGGCTTTGCACCAAGGCTTCCTGGAACCTTCTCCGGAACCCTGTTGAACCTGACCGGCCACTTCTTGTCCATAAAGTTCATTTCAAATCCTTTGCACCATCATGCAAAGTCCAAAAAGTAGTCAAAAACGCAATAAGACACATCGTTCCCAGATGTTATTCCACCATTCTGCAGCAAATCCCGAATCCTGCATAAAGAAAACATTGTTGTCACCAAATTCCGGTCGCCATACCAAGCTATGTAGGAACGTAGCACGCGTTCACCGTAAACACGGGAGCGTGTATTTCCATGGCAAGCCAGCAGCAGCAAGCCAGCAGCAGCAAGCCGGCAGCAACAAGCCAGCAGCAGCAGCAGCAGCAGGTGGCAGTAGCAGCACCAGCAGCAGCAACCGGAACCTTCTCCGGAACCTTCTCCAGAACCCTGTTGAACCTGACCTGGTTCTGCACCAAAGCCTCCCAGCCTTCTCCAGAACCTTCGGAACCTTCTCTGAAATCTCGTTGAACCTGACCCGGCGCCCGCACCAGTGCACACCGGAGCTATTCTGGGCTGAAGACCCCATTAGCTTACGCTGTTGGGGAAAAAAATGCAACTGATACTGTATACATCGACAGTACCGTAGCGTTGAGTGCTGGCACAAGTCCAAAGAACCTACAGATGTCCCCACCACCTCTGCCCTATGGTGGTTGATCCCTCCAAAATAGGGTACAGCTGGTGGTCAGCACTGCCCGAGCCAGATCGACCAACTCCTTCAACTAGCGAATCCGGAACCGAACTAAGCACAAAATCAGTTCCTGGAAACGCTCACATCACATGATAACTTTACATATGAGTCTATTGATGCGAGTAATCTGCCGACCGAAGTCTTGAGTTCCGGGAACACTGTCTACCACAACCTCCACTTGGAATCTTCAACCATGTACAGTGTACAACTTCTGGGATCTCACCAAACCGCCTGACCTAGCCGAGCCTACCTTGATCGGGACCCTGTCAACTGTCAATGGCTGTCGGGAAAATATAGACAATCTGTGAGTCCCCAATAAATCTGACAATCGATATTAAAGACTAAAGTGACTAAAGAGTTGAATCAGCAACCAGCTCAACAAGCTAATCACAGGCAAGTAGCTACCAACAAATGTTCCAAGGTGGACCCGTTTCCTCTTGCAAGGTCAGCTCTCCCAATCTCCGCCATATGGGAATGCAGGCTTCGGAGCACTTGGCCAACATCACCTCCCTTGTCCGAGAGGATCATGACTCCAGCCTCTAGCTGCAGCCAGTTCTTTGTGATTTGTCCAAATATCTCCACTGGATAAGAACCTATCTCAGCCTATCTCCAAATAGAGGTGGATCAGTTTCATGCACCGATCTTGTGCTCAGACACGGCTGTATTTCAATATTTTGTGGCCTTAGTCTACACGAAATAACTTCCCTCACCCTGGCCTCCTGGGGGCTCAGAATATGATTGCATCGCACAGTCGTTTCGTCCACTGCGGAGACTTTGAACTCAGGCACCTGGACATCCAGACCCCCCTGGTGTCCCCAGACACAGTGACATCCTCAAGATCTGCGGAAGTTCCGGATCCCCAACCGCAACAACCACAAGGCGCTTTCCACAGGGTGGCCTGGATGGTGAAGGTCACTGCATGCCTTTCTACTCCCGGCTTGAATGTCAGCTGCGCCTCCCATGCTTGGTCTGCTGCAATCTGAGCTGTGTATTTCTGGAAATTGCTTTTGAGTGCCAGCATCCAGATTCTGTGTTGAGTAAATCAGTTTTTGACTTTTGATATCCCACACAAGGCACAAAGACTGTGTCAGAGTCAAAGTCTTAAAGACACTCTTCGACTTCTGTTCATGAGCAGAGCAAAGACATCTTACAAATTATCAAAGTCATCGGTGCCTGCCTACGTCCTGGCCTCGACGTTGGGCGGGAACAGTGGCAAGTTGGCCTCCAAGGGGTTGTCGAGATGATCCAGGAACCATGCTCCGACCGACCGTTGCCGTAGCAAGTTTTCCACCTTCTCCATCCCCAGAGCATCCAAATACGCCTGATTTGTGACGGCCGCAGATAGTTTTGAAGGATGCTTGGAGCAAAGTACCCCCCTAGCCCACAACATCACAGTTGGTAGTGGGAATACCAAAAATACCTAGGCCACCCAAAAAATGGAAATCGCACAATGATCCCAAGGCAGTTCACGTTCACATCCAGCACGTGCATGTAGAATTCGTCCTCGCCGCAGGACATCAGCATGCCAGTGGGTAGATCTGGATGTGAGATGCCCACGGTCAAACCACTATCTGCGACCCTTCTCCTGCAGATTGTCTTGAAACATGTTGAAACTATGACATACTGCATCTGCTTGATGACAAGAAGCCAAACTCTTGAAAAAATGAGGATAATGGGTGGCGGTTTCTGCTCAAAAGTCTTGCGATGAGTCAATTTGAGTCGCTGCATGGGCCTGACATCAACAATGTGGCCATTACGACAGTTCTCGCATATTCGGAAAAGTGGAGGTAGAATTGTGAAATCCGTTAGCTGTTTAAGGCCAATTTCTTTGGTAGCAGGTATGGCCCATGTTATTGACGGGCTCTGGTTATAGAAGAACCGTCAGGCACTGGAAACTTTCGCGGGGATCGCGGGGCTAGGGCAGGTTAGTGGCACCTCCAGTTGCCAGTTGCTCTTATTAGCTATTCTTTTTCTTGCTCAACTCAGGAACTACATGGAACTACCAAGGCTTGCCATTGTATCTTGTTATCCTTGACATGAAATCGGCGTTTGATGTTGTCCGACTAGATGACATGCGGCTAGCTTGCGCTCAAGCCGGAATTGCCGGGATTGACTGGCTGTTGCTTGATGACATTCTACGCACCGACTAGCAATGTATCCATTTGTGCATCGTTTCCTCTCCAAAGCATTTGTCTTAGGTTGCGGAACTGCTCAAGGACGCCGAGCGTCAATGTATCTAACAGTTTGCTGTCTTGGTTAAGAAATGAAGTTGAACGTCGCATTCCGTTTGGTGTTTCTGCTTGGGTACCTTACCCTATTATAATGGCTTTAATAAGATCGACCTTGCAGATCCTGCTTGCGATTTTCACAGTCCGCCCAGCCCAAGGGCTTTCTTTCAACCTATCCTAGATTTTTGGACATTTGCGCAGCAAAACTTCACCCCCTGTCCGCCAGTCTGAAACCCTTGCGGATATTTTGGTTCATTTGCCTAAATTTGCGGATCGTTGCTTTTTACTGGACGCAATTGGCTTTACAGGCGTGGGGCCCTTGCAATATATTGGTGACACAACTATTCCATGCTCGTCCCCTGGACAAATCCGTGATATTGTCAACAAGCACTTAGGTTCGGCTTGTTCGCAGTTTGCTCCCCGAACAAAAACTCAGTTTCACTACGGACGCAACAAAACTTCTGTTTTGGCATTTTTTTGATAGCCCTTGTCTCGATCTTTGGATTGCAAAGTGGTTGAGTCCAAAACAATCCTTGGTGTTCTGTTTGATAAGAATCTCTCTTTTGAGCGATTGCTCTCTCAAATGATAGCGAAGGGGTGGCCCCTTTTTGAAGAAATGTTCCATGCGGCTGAATGTGGATGGCTTTTTCTGTTCCTGTTCTCACTTCTCAGATCCTTGTCCGAATTCATCCGGTGCTTTCGTCCGCTGCCCCTTTCCTAATTATGGCCCCCAGAGCGATTCAGAAATGCTGCTGTGGAGGTGGGGCAAGGCAACTCTGGGCTGCAGGTATCAGCGCGAACTCAAGCATCACTTAGTGGTGGCGCAGTGTGGCCGGGACTTACGCTCAAGCATCTTTTCGACTGCAAGATTATGCCCAGTTTCCTCCCGAAATGCTATTGTCCGCCAAACAGAACCCATCCCTCAGGAAGTATATGCGTTCCACTTTCCGCAAACAGATTATTTTGCCCAACTACAGCAATCTGGCAGGGACCAACTTCAACTCACTTACTCTGACATTTTGATTGGTTTAGGTTTCTCGCCCTCTCAGCTTCATGTTTTTTTCTTCAAACTTGAATGGGAACTTTCAGATTTGCCTTGCAGCTCAGTCATTTGGCGAAATTTTCGGAGTTGGAGCTTGGTTCGCATCACTGGCCGTTGGCCACTACAGTACCGGGTAAAATAGGGTCACTATAGCGGAAAAGCTAGTAGTCACCAAGAGCGCATAAACTGGGTCACTCCAAGCGCATAACTGTCATTTATGTAGGTTAAATTTGAATTTAAAAGCTTGAGATACCTTGAGATACTCAGATTTACGCCATTCCTGCCCCGTAGCATTGAGATACTTAGATTCCAGCCGTTCCTGCCCCGTAGCTTGAGATACTTAGATTCCAGCCGTTCCAGCCCCGTAGCTTGAGATACTTAGATTCCAGTCGTTTCAGCCCCGTAGCTTTGGATACACTGAGCTACCACTACAATTCATTGGTGTGCTTGTAGCGTTTCAGTGGGGGTATTGCGCACCTTACTGGTTTGCCCACGTTCTCGTGGGGTGTGGGACAATTTGCGCAATGCATGTCCTTGGTGCCCTTCTCGGGATTCCACCCTGGCCTTTTTGCAGTTTATCCTTGGTGAAGCGGCTCCGTGGCCACACGCTCAAAATTTTGTGGGAGCGTGCATCCAAGCCAATTTGGCGGAAGAGAAAAAGGTGCGAGCTGCCTGATAGAGTGGTTCAAACAGGTCGCACATCTATTTCAAGAATGGTGCTTTTATAACATTTTCTTTTTCCCAAAAGCATCTCCGATGCTTGCGTTCTCGTCTAGCTGCATTTGCCGCGAGATGGAAGTGACGAGAGGGTGGAAAATAGATTGGGGAGAGGTCCGTTGGGAGGGAACGGATGGAAGCGACGACTGGGTGGACGGAGAGGAAACCGTGGGAAATAGCATTGGGGAGAGCTCCGTGGGAAGGATGGAGATGAAAGCGACGAGAGGGGAAGGAGCGAGATGGAAGCGACGACAGGGTGGACGGAGGGGAAACCGTGGGAAATAGCTTGGGGATAGCTGCGTTGAGAAGGAGCGAGATGGAAGCGACGACAGGGTGGACGGAGGGGAAACCGTGGGAAATAGCTTGGGAAAAGCTCCGTTGGTAGGGAGCGAGATGGAAGCGACGACAGGGTGGACGGAGGGGAAACCGTGGGAAATAGCTTGTGGAGAGCTCCGCGGGAAGCGACCACAGGCTGGACAGAGGAAACCGTGGGAAATAGCTTAAGGAGAGATGGAAGCGACGACAGGGTGGACGGACGGGAAACCGTGGGGAATAGCTTGGTGAAAGTTCCGTGGGGAAGGAGCGAGATGGAAGCGACGACAGGGTGGTCGGAGGAGAAACCGTGGGAAATAGCTTGGGGAGAGCTCCGTGGTAAAGGAGCGAGATGGAAGCGACGACCAGGTGGACGGAAAGGAAACCTTGGGAAATAGCTTGGGGAGAGCTCCGTGGGGAAGGAGCGAGATGGAAGCGACGACAGGGTGGACGGAGGGGAAACCGTGGGAAATAGCTTGGGGATAGCTCCGCGGGGAAGGAGCGAGGTGGAAGCGACGACAGGGTGGAAAGAAGGGAAACCGTGGGAAATAGCTTGGAGGAGCTCTGTGGGGAAGGAGCGAGATGGAAGCGATGACAGGGTGGACGGAAGGGAAACCATGGGGAATAGCTTGAGAGCTACGTCGGGAAGGAGCGAGATGGAAGCGACGACAAGGTGAACGGAGGGGAAGCTGTGGGAAATAGCTTGAAGAGAGTTCTGTGGCAAAGGAGCGAGATGGAAGCGACGACCAGGTGGACGGAAAGGAAACCTTGGGAAATAGCTTGGGGAGAGCTCCGTTGGGAAGGAGCGATAATAAAGCGGCGACAAGGTGGACGGGAAGGAAACCGTTGGAAATAGCTTGGGGAGAGCCTCGTTGGGAAGGAGCGAGATGGAAGCGACGATAGGGTGGAGGGAGGGAAAACCGTGGGAAATAGCTTAATTATGCTTAATTGGGGATAGCTCCGTTGGGAAGGAGCGAGATGGAAGCGACGACAGGGTGGACGGAGGGGAAATTGGGGATAGGTGTGTGATTGGGAAGGAGCGGGATGGAAGCAATGACAGGGTGGACGGAAGGGAATCCATGGGAAATAGCTTGGGAAGAGCTCCGATTGGGAAGGAGCGACGGAAGCGACGACAGGGTGGACGGAGGAGAAACCGTGGAAAATAGCTCGGGGAGATCTCCGTAGGGAAGGAGCGAGATGGGAAGCAACGACAGGGTGGACGGAGGGGAAACCGTGGGAAATAGCTTAGGGATAGCTGCGTTGGGAAGGAGCGAGTTGGAAGCGACGACAGGGTGGACGGGGGAGAAACCGTGGGAAATAGTTTGGGAAAAGCTCCGTTGGGAAGGAGCGATACTAAAGCGGCGACAAGGTGAACGGAGGGGAAGATGTGGGAAATAGCTTGAAGAGAGTTCTGTGGCAAAGGAGCGAGATGGAAGCGACGACAGGGTGGACGGAGGAGAAACCGTGGGAAATAGCATGTGGAGAGCTCCGCGGGGAAGGAGCGAGATTGAAGCGACGACAGGGTGGACGGAGGGGAAACCGTGGGAAATAGCTTGGGGAGAGCTCCGTTGGGAGGAAGCGACGTACTGAGAAGCAGAGCTGCTCGCACGGGTTTTCAGGAAAAATTCCATCAATCCAATTGTCCCGAAAAACTGTGTGCCCAAGACTTTTCAAGTGGTTTGCAAACGTTGGGCGATGGGACATGCATAGCTTCGTTGGCAGGGAGCGACGCTAAAAATGCACTGCTGTTGGCGCGGGTTTTTCAGGACAAATTTCATCAATACGATTGTTCCAAAAAACTGTGCGCCCAAGACCTGCCAGAGTTTCCAAACCCTGGCCCATGGGACATGCATAGCTTCGGGAGCGAGGCGAAAAGAGCAGGGCTGTTGGCACGGATTTTTCAGCATCAACGCAATTGTCCCGAAAAACTGGTGCCCAAGACTTCTTAAACGCAGGGCAAAGGGACATGCCGGACATGCATGGGAAAATGTTCTTTGCTGGAGGGGTTTTCATTTTGCTCGGCGTTCTGTCCGTCGATGCTTGGTTTTCGCTCCCTTTGCAGCGAAGCAAACTCAACGATAACCCAAGCATAGGATATGCATCACCGTGAACGGACAGGTGGGGAAATAGCTTGGGAAGAGCTCTGCTGGGAGGGAGCCGCACTGAAAATGATTGAAAATGTGGAGCTGTTGGCACAGGTTTTACACAAAGCAGCTTTTACACAGAGGAGCTTTACACAGAGGAGCTTTACACTGAGGATCTTTTACACAGAGAGGCTTGTACGCAGGGAGGACTTTACATACAGAATCTTTCACACAGAGAAACTTTATACAGGCACAGGAAAGGTTTTACACACAGAAGCTTTTATACAGAGAAGTCTTTATACACAGAGTAGTCTTGACACAGAGAAGCTTGCACACACAGAGGCGTTTACACAGAGAAGCCTTTTACACAGAGCAGCTTTTTCACAGAGGAGCTTTTTCACGGAAAAGCTTGCACACGCAGAGGCTTTGACACAGAGAAGTCTTTACACAGAGGAGCTTTTACACAGAGCAGCTTGTACACACAGAGGAAGGAACTTTTACACACAGACGCTTTTACACAAAGAAACTTTTACACAGAGCAGCTTTTACACACAGAAACGTTTACACACAGAGGGGCTTTACACACGGAAGCTTCTAAAGCCAGAAGCTTTTACACCGGAAAGCCTTTACACAGAGAAGCTCTTACACACAGAATTTTTTACGCAAAAAAGCGTTTACACAGAAGCTTTTACACACAGAGGCGTTTACACAGGAGCGTTTACACACGGATGCGTTTACACACAGAAGCCCCCATATACAGAAGCTTTTACGCAGAGTAGCTTTTAGACGGAGAAGTCTTTACACAGAGGAGCTTTTACACAGAGAAGTCCTTCTTACAGAAAGGAGATTTACACACAGAAACTTTTACACACAGACGCGTTTACACACAGGAAGTTTTACACAGAAGCGCTTACGGCGCACTGAAACTTTTTACACAGAGCAGCTTTCACACACAGAAGCTTTTTCACAAAAAAATCTTTACACAGAGAGGTTTTTACACACAGAGGCTTTTGCACAAGGAAACTTTTACACAGGAAAGCTTTTACACACAGAAGCTTTTGCACAGAGAAACTTTGTTCACCGAGAAGTCTTACGCAGAGGAGCTTTTATGCACAGACGGGTTTGCACAGATAAGTCTTTACACAGAGGAGTTTTTGCACACAAAGTGTTTACACACAAAAACGTTTACGCACAGAGAAGCTGTCACACACAGAAGCTTATGCACTTGAAAGCTTTTACACAGAGAAGCTCTTACACGCAGAAGCTTTTACACTCAGATTTGTTTGCACAAAAAAGCCTTTACACAGAAACTTTTACACAGAAACTTTGACACACAGACGCGTTTACGCAGGAGTCTTGACACAAGGACACGTTTACACACAGAAGCCTTTACGCACAGAAGTTTTTTTGCACAGAGTAGCTTTTACACACAGAAGTCTTTACACAGAGAAGTCTTGACACAGAGAAGCCTGTACACACAAAGGCTTTTACAGAGAGAAGCCTTTTGTACAGAGAAGTCTTGACAAAGAGGAGCTTTTACGCAGAGAAGTCGTTACACAAAGCAGATTACACACAGAAGCTTTTACACACAGACACGTTTACACACAGAAAGTTTTACAAATAGACGCTCTTTCGGCGCACAGAAACTTTTACACAGAGCAGCTTGTACACACAGAAGCTTTTACACAAAAAAACCTTTACACAGAGAAGATTTTACATACAGGAGCTTTTGCACAAGAACACTTTTACACAGGAAAGCTTTTACACACAGAAACTTTCACACACAGAAGCTTTTTACACCGAGAAGTCTTACACAGAGGAGCTTTTACGCACAGACGCGTTTACACAGTGAAGCCTTTACACAGAGGAGCTTTTGCACACAGAAGACTTTTACGCACAGAACCTTTTGCACAAAGTAGCTTTTACACAGCGAAGGCGAAGTCTTACACAGATTGCACAGAGAAGCTTTCACGCGCAGACACGTTTACACAGAGAAGTCTTTACACAGAGGAGCCTTTACGCACAGACGCGTTTACACAGAGAAGTCTTTATACAGAGGAGCTTTTGCACACAGAATCTTGTACACACAGACGCGTTCACACACAGGAGGTTTTACAAACAGAAGCTTTTACACACAGAAGCTTTTACACAAAAAAAACACTTTACACAAAGGAGCTTTTACACACAGACGGGTTTACACAGAGGAGTCTTTACACACGGAGGCGTTTACACAGGAAAGCTTTTACACACAGAAGCGTTTACACAGAGTAGCTTTTACACAGAGAAATCTTTACGCAAAGAAGTCTTGACACAGAGAAGCTTGCACACACAGAGGCTTTTACACAGAGAAGCCTTTTACACAGAGCAGCTTTTTCACAGAGGAGCTTTTACACAGAGGAACTTTTACACAGAGAAGCTTGTACACTCAGAGGCTTTGACACAGACAAGTCTTTTATACAGAGAAACTTTTGCACACAGAAGCTTTACACAAACAAAACCTTAACACAGAGGAGCTTTTACAGACAGAAGCTGGTACGCAAAGAAACTCTCACAAACAGAAACTTTTACACACAGAGGACGTTTTACACAGAAACTTTTGCACACAGAAGCTTTTACACAAAAAAAAACTTTACACAGAGAAGTTTTTACCCACAGAAGCTTTTACATACAGAAGCTTTTATGCAAGGAAGCTCTTATACAGAGAAGTCTTTACCCATCTTTCATCATGTCTCATTTTTCATGATCATTCACCATCTGTCACCTTCATATCTTCGTTTTCATGCTCTTTTGGTCAACTCCCTCCGTCGTTTAGTTTTCATTTCGCACGGTGTTCTGTCCGTCCAGGCTTCGTCCTCGCACCCTCTGCGGCGAAGCAAACTAAACGAGAACCCAGAAATAAATAGCGACTAGAAAGATGGGATAAAGTTAATTACATTAGCAGAAATAGCGACTAGAAGAATGTAGACGTAGCTGACACAGCATGCTGTGGGTGAATTGTGGCCCCTGATACCATCAGTGCGCACGATGTTTCAGTAAAGATCTTACGTCGTTTTCGTGCAGAGCACAGGTGCCCACACCACACGATTTAAAGAAAAAGGGCGTGCCGTCTTGCTTTTGGGTTCTCTGGCCCACCTTGTTTTTAAGCAGAGGGACGATACATTGGTGCGCAACTACCACGAACAACCTTCCTTCTATCATTATATTGCTGTCTAACCGGAGGCCAGTGAAAGACCTGCGCCCTGCCGCTAGTAGGATGACCCGTTTGTCCTCAAGTCCTGGATAGTTCAGGTTTAAGGTCGGGCGTGTCAACGTCTGATGCCCCTTTCATGTGGGCTCAGCCGTTCTGATTCACCAATACAGCAATACACCCATGACACGTCAGGTTTGCATGCTCCTTGCAGGCTGCGGAAAGTCCACTGTCAGCTCGTTTCTTGGATCGCCCCGCGGCCAGTCACAGAAATTCAGGGAGATCCTCAGGATCCAACTGAGGCAGGCATCAAGACGCTGCAAATCTGGGAGTCTCCTACCTCTGAAACTATTGAACCTGTGAGAAGCAATTTTGACCTTCTCATTCTAGCCAGGTAAAGCATCCAGCATCAACGAAGCTGAAATGATTGCGAACAAATTTGAAACGCTGGCGAAGGTCTGAACTGCCTTGAGGATGGACATGTCGGTGTGGCGTGATTTCATCTTCAAGGCCTTCAAATAACGGCCCCTGGGGCAGCTATCGCCACTCCAATCACACACCTCTACCTCGGTATGACCCTGGGCCCGCCAAGCCTATGCAAATGCGACATGTGACACGCGGCATTGGCATCGAGTCATTTGCAAACCATCAGCTCGGAGATCCACCTCTCAAGCCCCAAACTTGCCTACAGTCCAGTACATTAATGTCATTATCATATAATGTCATTTGAATGTCCACGTGCATCGATCCGCAAACACACACCCCTTGCCCTTGCCAACATGGCATGCTACACAACAGGTTCAAGAACCAGCGTTGGAAACTGCGTGGCTGCTATGTACCAGTTACCAATCTTTCACAGAAGAATGCCAGACCATCAACACCCAAAACAAGGGCATCATTCATCTGAATCAAGCTGCCACATGCAAATCATGGCCGCCTGGAAGCTTGGAGGCTGTTTTCCAGGGTACTTGGATGGCTGGAAGTTTGCCATTGATCGGCTTGAATGCAACCTTAGACTGGGACGAAAAGGCAGATCGTTTTCTGGTCTGATCTGGAAGGACGTCATGCAAATTCACTTTTAAATTGAAGTGCGTACTGTCTGCTTTCTAATCAAGACAGCAAAATTAGTGAAGCCAAAGGCACGTGTTTCGGATTGTGCACCACTTTCGGCTTCATGCACACAAAGAGCTTCTGCCGGGGAACTCCAAATTCTATGGCATGCCAGATGCATCCGAAGAATTCCATCCTGTATCCATACTTGCAGTGTTGGGATGTCACAAAGTGTAAAGTAAAGACGCCCAAACAAAAATTAGGCAAGAGCAAATAATGGCAAAGGGCAGAAATTAAGCTAGGTGTTCTTTCTTACCGTCCACTTCATTTATGAATGCTTCGCGACACAGCTCCAAGGAGAGGGCAATTCCTGACCGCATTCTTGCACTGCACCAGAATGCTTTATAGTCGCTAGAGAAGCTTTTTGTACAGTATGCGGTGGGTTGTTCCATTCCAAGTGGATACTGTACCTCAATGAGCTTTAAACCAGAGCAACCAAGGACGAACATAAGCAGCTTCAGCCAGTCCTTTCCACATCAATCGCACTTCCATGTGATGGTTTGCGGCTAGGCCCCCAAACACGAGCCTTAGCGTTTTTTCAAGAAAAACCTACGGATGGCATGCCTTTAATTTGATGTGCAGAATAGTTGTAAATATCTGCAGGCTTCAAGCAAAATGTGAGGACACAAGCAAACTATGCAGCCAAAGCTGAGGTTGCCACATCCAAGATCTGCACATAGCATCGGTCAAAGTCCCAAGTGGGACCCCGGGTTTTGTTGCCCCAAATCCTGACTTTGCAACCTTGTAATGCTGCAGGACCACGATGAACAATGACCTCTCCAGCACCTGATGGCGCCGGGCCCAGACGAGGGAAGTTCAAAGTGTGGGTGCGAGGTACCATGACAAGACCATCAAAGCGGCAAGGCCATGTGTTGTAATTGTTGTATGCCCGAGGAGCCAATGCGGATGTGTGCTCAATGATTGACATGTGATCCTGTAACGGATGGACATATCTTGTTACATGTTGTTTCGTTCTCAACTGAGTGGTCATCAAAGATCTTCACGCAGAGGCAGCTATGGTATGGCCGGGCCACGTTTCAACGCCTCCTTGCCACCAGTGGATCGGAAGGTCCCAAAGACCACCAGCCCTGGGAGCTGCTTCAAGGAGTCCAAGGTGGATGGCCTTGGATTGTCCACTTCTATACCACAAATCCTTTCTGTCAATAGAAAATTCAAAGGATCTAATTCTGATCAAAATATATCACTGATCAAGAACTAATCTCTCTTAGTACCTCACTGCTCCCTTCTTTTGCTAATGTTTACAAATCATTGCAAGCAAGAGTCTGTCTGGCCATGCGCTCTTCCCAGTCGTTGGGCGCAGCAGCACAAGATGACTCAATACCATCGCATGGTGGAATCGGAGGCTCTGAGTAGGTATCAGAACCACCGTCACTGTCCTCCTCACGCGGGCCCAGTGGCCTATCGGACCGTGGTGAATTAGCAGCGTCCGAGGCGTCAGCTTCAGAGTCATGTTCATACCATGGCAAAGCAATGGGGGATGCAGCATGTGCTGTAGGCTTCCTTTTAGAGTGCTGAGCAGCAGTTGCAATGATGGGAGGGTCTCCCGCAAAGGTCTGATATCCCACATGCTCTGCACCTCGCTGCACCGCGGCTATTCTGGTCTCGTGGAGTTTGTAGCGCTTCATCGCACCAGAATCTTGACCTTCCCATGAAGACCTTCCGGCAAGCCAAATGCGGCCAACTGACTTCGATTCTGCGCTCCCATCAACTAAAACATCCTGGGGTTTTGACACCAGTCCATCAGTATAGACATCAGAGCCAGTTGTGGCCAGCTGGCTTTGCCGGCTCTTCGAAGTCTCACTGGGAAGTTTGGCCTCATGGAAGATCAAAGACCTACTGCGAAACCTGTCTGCACCGACCCACTCGTCATCATCTGACACATAGCCGTTGTAATGCACAAGCACAGGAGCTTGGGCTTTGTCTTTCGCATGCGACACTTGCAACACTTTGCAATCACTGTTCTTTCCGGTTGCAGCTTCAACAACATTTGCCTTCATGCCTGACTTGATGTGAGAAAAGTCAGGCACTTGCAACTGGCGCAATGAAAACCAATCCTCTTTGCACTGCCCTGCTTGGCCTGTTGCGCTGTAACGTACTCTGATTGGTGCTTGGTCACGTTTTGAAAGCGAAGATATTTCGAGAACCTTGCCAAACATTCTGGTTGAACCAGTACCTTTCACACAAACAACCATGCCATTTTTGAGCTCTGCGTGTCCTGTGATTGACGCGTTTCTTATCTGATCGTCAGGCTGAGTGGCTGGGATCATTGGAGGATCATTTTCAACAGCCCGCCATCTCAAAGTTGGGGAGACATCCAAAGAGGCATTGCTTCTCTCATAGTGCTTGTACTTGCACTTTTTCTTCATCCCACATTGCAAACCAGGGATGTCCTCGTGCAAGAAGAGGTTCTTCCCAACAGAATGGTGCTCTTCATGCAAACATGTTCCAGCCAACCACAGGCAGCAAACGAACCTTGCTTCGCTTCCATCAACCAAAACATCCTGGGGTTTTGACACCAGTCCATCAGCATAGCCAATTGTGGCAAGCTGGCTTTGCCGGCTCTTCTCACTGGGAAGTTTGGCCTCATGGAAGATCAGCAATTTGCTGTGAAGCCTATCTGCACCTACCCACTCATCGTGATCTGACACGTATCCACCGTAGTGCACGTACAAAGGAGCTTGGGCTCTGTCTTTCTCGTCCGATACTCGCAAGACTCGACACGCGAAACGTGCACCTGTCTCCCGTTCAGAAGCAGTTACCTCAACACCTGGCTTGATCTTGGAAAAGTCAGGCACTTGTACCCGGTGCAGGGGAATCCAGCTTTCTTGATACCGGCCTGCTTTGTCTGGTGCGCTATAACGCACTTTCACAGGTGCTTGCTGACGGTTTGAAAGCCGTGATACTTCAAGAATCTTGGCAGACATCAGGTTTGATCCGCTGTCCTTCTTCACACAAACCGCCATGCCTTTTCGTAGCTCTCCACATTCTGTGGCAAGATTCTGTGATTCTGATGAAGATCCAACTGAGGCAGTTGCGGCGGGCTCTGTTTGTAATTCTTCATGACTTTCAGAACACATACCTTTCAAACACCGTGCAGGCAGGACGGGCTTGTGGAACAGCAACGACTTGCTGTGAAATGTCTCCGCTCCAATCCACTCGTCAGGCTGTGAGGTTTTACCAGTGTAATGCACATGTATTGGAGCACGGGCTCTGTCTTTAGCCCTTGAGACTTGCAAAACTTTACAATCAAGATTATTGCGGCCAGATGCCTGCATTTTGGGCTTGATCTGGGAAAAGTCAGGCACTTGCAGCCGGTGCAGCGGAAGCCAAGCTGTCTTCATTTGCCCTGCTTGGCCTTTTGAGCTGTAACGTACTCTGACTGGTGCTTCATCATGGTTTGCATGCCGAGAGATTTCCAGGACCTCGCCAGACGTCTTTGAGCCACTTCGATTCATCACACAAACCAACGTGCCTTCTTTGAGCTCTACATGTCCGGCCATGGAGCCATTTCTTATCTGATCGTCAGGCTGAGTGGCTGGGATCATTGGAGGATCATTTTCAACAGCCCGCCATCTCAAAGTTGGGGAGACATCCAAAGAGGCATTGCTTCTCTCATAGTGCTTGTACTTGCACTTTTTCTTCATCCCACATTGCAAACCAGGGATATCCTGATGCAAGAAGAGGTTCTTCCCAACTGAATGGTGCCCTTTCAGCCAGCACTTTCCACGCAGCCACAGGCAGCAAACGAACTTCGATTCTGCATTGTTATCCCCAGAAAGATGGTGTGATTCAGCCGTTGATTCATCATCAGACCCGTCAGAGCCAGCTGCGGAAGAATCTGTTTGACTGTTTGGAGATATTTCTCCTCCAGTCTTGGCCCTTGGATCAAAAGGATGCACAGTGGATCTGGTGCTAGGTTCACTTCTTTGTGGATTTTGCAAGTCAGGCACAGGAAGATCAGCCTTCAGATCGCACCACTCTTGTGGTGTACGAAAAAGAGGCTTGCCCAGGTGCCAGGCCTCTGAACATTTCCCATGCAATTTCAGTCCAAGGCCATCCACCATGGTGTCCTTGTTGTGTACGAAAGGACCTGCAACCTCTGGGTCCTTGGCATCATACACAATGCATGGTGCCCGCACTGTTTGATGCCGCCAGATGCCTTGAAGAGCACAGAGAGCAAGACCACGCCGGTGTCCTCTGACGATGTGCAGCCCTCTTTTATCCGCTACAACCCTCAGCGGCTCGATATCCTCTGGACGTTGTCTACCGCTCAACATGTCATGAATGAGCTCGTAGACAGAAGTGTCCTGCAGCGTCAAAGAAAAATGTCCCAACAATCCCACCCACAATTATTCTCAAAAGAGACACGTCAAACAATTCTGCAAAGGCAGAGGATCAAGATTGACACAAGTTGAGGGCTGGCGGTGCAATGAGCGTGGACTGGAACGACAGCACAGACAGTGGAGTCATTCCAGTTGTCCTTGGAGTGGGTAGGCAGAGGGCCCTTATCAGATTTTCACCGTCAAGCCTCAAAAAAAAAACGTCTGTCCTTGTGTCTTCCGGATGTAAATGTCATCTCCGAGTGAACCTTCCCTTGGATCGAGCGCAAGCACCAGATGGGGATCTGCACCACCTTCCCACTGCGAATGCTTCGCGGATCGGGCCTGAGGAAGTTGGGCCCAAAAACAAAGAGGCAATGAATTGCCTGCCCAGCGGTAGCCATGCTGCATTCGTTGCTAAGTTACCCACGGCTGAGACAAAGACTGCCAGCATATGCTAACATAGCCTTTGAAAAAGTACAATGCCCCTCAAACCTTCAAGGATGACTAGCTGGCTCTTCAGCAACAAAAATAATGAATTCAGAGTCCGAGTTGCTTAAATGTCATGACCTCCTCTGCACAAGGTAAAAACTGGAGCAATCGTGACATCGCAGAATCGCACGAAGATCTTGGCTCTCCTGATTTGGCCTTGCTCACACCTCTGGGTCGAGATACACATCCTGCAGTCATTCTGGCCGGTTTCAATGGGAACTCACAGCGCAGGCTGATGGTTGCAGGAGATAGAGGCAGGAGGAAAATTCAAAATCCTAAGGCCAAGTCCCTAAACTAGTTCAACTGCCCTGTCTGTAGGGTTCCATGTAGAAGGTTGTGGCGTCACAATAAATTGCTTGAGATATTACAGTACTTTGGTGCGAATTTATTCATCTCTGGGCTCTGGAGCCACAATGCTCGAGGCTAACAAAGTTGCAACCCAGGATCAATTCGGAAGATTTCTCCACATGCTGGGGCTCGATATGAAACAGTGGCTGTGCATCTGACAACAAGAACAAGCATCTTGTGGGCAACATCCCTGGTCCACACATGCGACCTACGTGCAAATCTAGTTTATGTTTCAGCTCCACCTTGGGCACAGTTCTTGCCAATTCGGAGTTGAAACTGACTTTCTCCAAGGGCTAAGGCAAGCAACACTAGTCACTCAATACAGTAATTTCGGTCTGATTTGTGAGGCTTGCTGGTGGGGAAGTCAAGACAGGTTGACACGTTGAACCACCTGCTTAACAAAGTCATTTCCACCAAAATAATTACTTTTTGCCGGTTGAACCTTAGAAGACCACAAATAGCTCGTTTCAGCCCTTGTGAACCTCACACTTCTCACTGTAGAATCGTGGCAGAGATCCGTTTCCGGTTGAGTTGATGAGGACTTGCAGAGATGTGGCTCCTCGGAACCAGATTCCCGTACTCCTCTAGCCAGCGTCGCCTTTTTCCAGCACTGAGACAACCGAAAGTTTCGAAGGCTTCTGATTTGAAAGACCTCAGTAGCCTTCAGCTAAGCACTAAATGCACCAGTTCATGCGGTGCCCATTCTAGCTTTAAACGATTCTACGCTGCCCGAAGCCTTCTGGAAGATCAATGGCACGTGGCCATGAGACTACATTTTTGATACAAACGTCTGGTGAGATTTGGAAGGCTCAGGCAAGTCCAACTAAAATCTATGCTCCCGATAAACGAAGTGACTTGCGCACCTTGCGCGTACGGACCGATTCAAGAAACTCCTTTTGACTGCGAATGCATCTGCAGCTCCTCAAGCTGTGAATGAAGGCATTGAAATCTTTGGATCCTTTGCTCAGCACATCTGCATTTCCGACGCAAACGAGGCCATACTTTGCTCTTGTGATGGCCACATTCAATACCCGGTAGTTCTTCAGGATGCCAAGGCTTTCTCCGTACATCTCCTCAAGTTTGCTCTGGCAAATGGTTGGAGCTCATGTCAATGTAGGGGGCGCCCACCCAAACATGGCAAGCTGAGAGAAGCTAAATGTCCCCCTTGCTAAGTGTCAATGAGGTCTGCGACAAAGCCAACCTATCAGACCTATCATTGTTACATAGTGAGTGTTGCCAAAGCAACCACCTGGTCTACAAAATCAAGCATGGAGTCATAGAGACTCATTGAAACCAATTCATGTTTTGCCAGGTAGCGCCAAGTCAGCAGAAAGGGACCAGGGGACCATCATCATAGCGGATCCCCATTCATTAAATCCTCATCAATTCTCTATATAGTGCTTAAGGACATCCAACAAACATCAGCATGGCTCCCCTCCCCGGCTCCTGCAGCGCCACGGAGTCTCCGGCGGTCTTTGCCACGGAGGTGACCACGTCCTCGTCCTGCGAGGTGCTGCGGACGAAGCTCACGATGATGTACTCGCGCTCCGAGCCCTGCAGGCAAGTTGCTGGGTGGAAATGCCATTGGGAGATTTTGGGGCTTGGTTTTCCTTGTTGCAAGGCATCCAACTGGGAATATCCCTGCACCACCCAACACTGGCAAGGAGTGGCCTGCAGAGCGTGCACTGTGCCGATCAGGATGGACTTCGAGTGGGCGCCAACTTCCCGCTCCAGCCTGCATCAGTTGAATGGGTCCAGTGCCATCCAGTGCCCATGACACATGGAGCTAGTTGCATCAACTTTCAATGACTTTGCTTTCCTCAACCAGTGAGGCAGGGCCAACGAGGTGGGGTTTTTGGTGTTTACCTGCTAACTTTGGCTGATACTGGCCAATTATGACCACAATGCATCCTCAAGCTGGTTTGGGGAAAAGTCGTTACAAAGAATCAAAACGCAACCATATGCGACCCAGAACATGTGCTGCCTTGCGCGAATTTCATGTTGCTGGGCTTTGTAGGGAGTGATCACTGCAATGTCTCGTGGGTCGCATTTCTGTCGCAGCAACGCCGCGCAGGCAGCCACCACAGATCGAGCCTCTCCGACATTCTTCAAGGAAACCTAAAGGGGCAGTCTCGCTTGTGCGGCGAAACACAGTTTGGAGTAAAAAATGGAAAAAAAACTAGCAGGTCAACATCAATCCCCCTATCTCCACAAGGACGTTGACCGTGACAGCGGGGACCCCACCTTGCTCTCCATCAAAGCTGCATCGCAGTTACGGTTCAACTCCGGAGAGAGGCCCATGGACTGGGGTGTCTGGCAATCGATGAATACCCGATGATCCTGTGGCAGGCACCAAAAGCACAACTTGTCAGGAAATGATCCACCAGCAACATTCATCTTTCGGTGATCAATCATGCCGGATTCAGTATGTGCATGGTAATTCCCCAAGCATCATTCGACAGTCAATGCTTTTGCCATCCCAGCTCCTTCTTCTGTGGCCAGACACAGTTCAGCTGCGGCCGATGGGGGATGGACACCCGATCCTCCAGCATAGACTGATAGAACTGCGATGATGGAAAGCTCCGGATGGAAGGGTGCATGCGGTACCTCGGCATCCAAAGGTGTAGACGTAAATGCGGCCTCATCTTTTTTCCCTGCCCTTTGGATCTGTCCTCTGGTCTGGGAAAGTCTGCTGACAAGGTATTGTTTTGCAAGATCATTCAGAATGTGCAAGTTAGACTCTAGCAGAGGTTATTCTCCCTATCTAATTCACAAAGTCTGCACACAATGTACAGGGACTCTTCGGTGGAGGAATTTCCCCAAAATGATAGGCTTCTATTTCGCCTTGGATTGATCTGTTTGGGTCTGATTCTTTTCTGAATCTTCTAAGCACCAGCAGAGTTGCTGCTCATTCAGCATGGTGCTCGTCGACAAGCGCCGAGGGTTTTGGTGCAGCCTCTCTAGAAACGGTGTCTCCAAAGCGCTGATGTAAGGGACGGATAAGTTGTGCTCCGTCACCACAGGGCCTGCAGTGGCTGCAGGGAGCCGAATTCTGATTAACCAAAAAAAATGTGACTGAAGTGGTGTTCAAAATATCCTTCGAAATCAAGCGATTTCCTTTTCTTTGTGTAACCAAGTGGGAAGTTTGCGCGCCGGCACTACTCTGATATACGGGTCTGCTGCGCCAGCTTGCGCGAAGGGAGAGTTTCTTCAACTATGAAAAAAAGATTTCAAAAGTTGCATAATGTCAGATTTGGCCAAAACAAAATGAGTTTGCCAACCAGCGCTCTCGGTGCGATCATATGCCACCCCTATCTTCATCAGCCTTGATGACACTTTTTGAGGTTCAGCTTAAATCAATTTCGCCACCTCACCCGACCCCTCGGCCTAGCTGCTTGTGATCTCCCACCACGATGACGCGGCAGCTGGCTGATGTGGCCGCCAGAACGACGTCCGGTTCGCTGGCCTGCGCCGCCTCATCGATGACGATGCTGCCGAAACTTACTGGGCGAACCACATGGGGCGGTTCGCCCTGCACCATGGAGGTATGGAGAAAAGCCTCGTTTGCTTCGGACATTCCGGTTGCACCCATAAAGTCTAGGTCTGCCTTATGAAGAAATACGTTTGAATCAAAAAATGGCTTTAATAATAATGAAACAAATACACCGCAAAATATCAAAACAATGGCAAAAAAAAATCAACTGAAAAGACTAAGTAAAAAATGACAGAATCAGATTTGGTTATATCAGGTGGTTGTGCAATATACACCAGGATTCTGCATGTTTTCTAAGTTCCTGGAAAGTGTGTTTGTTCGCTCTTGTGCTTTCTTATTGAATGTTACTGTATTGATCTATATTGATCTGCTGCTGCTTTTATCACAGTTGTTTCCTTTTTCGGGTGTCTGGAAAACTGTGAGGCGTTTCTACTCTCTTGCTTTTCTATCGTATGAGTACCTTGTGATTTCTTGTTTCATCTGGTTCTACCTCAGTTGTGCTTGCTCTTTTTGGAGTTCCTGGAGAATTGTTTGCGTTTCTCTACTCTTTTGTTTTACGCTTGCCTTTTCAGTGGGCATGGCTTCTGGTCGTTCTTTTCGTATTTTTGTGTTTTGCATTTGCTCTTTTATTGCTTGTTTCTGTGAGTCTGGGTCTGGTCTCCAGGTGTCCTTTTTGCGTTGTGGTTTTGTGGTTTTTGTGTTTTTGTGCTCTTGTTGTAGAAAAACTTGTAGAAAATGTAGAAATATGTCTTCTAAATGGTGTGCAGCCAAGCAGCATTCGTGCAGGTGGTAATCACAACTCGGCTGTCGCGAAGGATCTGCACCTCTCTGGCTTCATAAGATTTGTCGAAGGCTTCTTGACTCCATCCTGCGGGGAGAAACTTCACCTGAGCCAGGGCAGACATGCGTCCACGTAGATACCTGCAAAGAACTCAACATCCACAGCCTGATTGACGAGATCACAAACTCCTTCGCAGTCCGTGTGAGATAAACTATCTATCAAGTCATGTGGTCTAACCCTCCATGATGAGCCTCTTCCCCAACCAAACATAGAAGCCACCAGGACCTGAAGTAATTCACACACCTAGCCCCACCCGCAGCACATCCATCTTTGGACGGCCTGAGGGGACTCACCCACTTTCCAGTGAAGCGCGTGCTCTTCGAGGTGTGGCTGAATCTCAAACCTTCCCTCCCACTTCGTTGTCCTCAGATACGGGATCGCTTTTGCCAATGCAAGGAAAGTCTGTATACAAAATCACAAGCACTGACCAAAGAAAAGGGTTGTGGAAACACAAGTTCTTTTTAAGCAAATTTAAGCTGACCCACCCTTGTACCCGCTTCCGTGACATCTTTCAATAAACCTCGAATATATGCGCGTCACGTAGTGGGGCGATATGCCAGCGCTTATCAGTCGGTCCAAGATGTGGTCCGCTGCATGATTGGACGGTGCGCAGACTAAGATTCGGCCGTCCCCTCAGCAGAACACACGTTGGATCTGTGCTACCTTGCAACTTGAATTCCTCAACCTGCCCGAAGTCAAACAATGCTTGTCCCCCACCCAACCTGCCTTTCCAACGGGGTCTTGGGGCTGACAAGAGAGCGGCCACGCACTGAACCAGCATGGAAGTCTTGCCTGTCCCGGGCGGTCCCTGAACCATTGAGAATGGCCTTTGCAGGGCCCTCTGAATCGCCAGCGTTTGCTTCTCATTCAGTTTGCTCGCGCAAGCCGACTGCATTGCACACTTCACCTTGCCAGGGCATCAGTTGCACCTTGCAACTCTTCGATTATATTCGATTGTTGTATAATAAATAACTCAAAGATGCTCAAAAAAGGGCATGGGCGCATCGGCATGGGCCTTAATTAGATGGTTTTCGGCGCATCCTAGCCTCTGAGATGGTCACCAAGGGCCGCATCTCCATGTCCTTTTTCATCTCCGTTGTGCTTCTAGGAATTGTCAAGCGCATGCCTTGCAACGGGCAAGACCTCTGCATGTCCTGTAGCAGTTGGATGCTCTTCTTCTCGTTGGGAGGGATCAAAATGAAGTGCAGACGCCAAGTCGGAGTTCCATTCAAGCTGAAATCCTGCGCTTGCCAGGCCAGCTCCGCAATTTTCGACAGCTCCACCTCCACGATGAAACTTCTTGTGCCATCCTCCACTGGCAGTGTCGGCCAGTTCCCTCTGATTTTCACGAGGGTTCCCTGCAAAGTGGCACATTCGCCAGAGCGTTCCAAGCTCAGACTCAGAACTGCCAAATCTCCTGGCTCAAGCCACTGGTACCGCAACAGCTTCACATCAACTTGGCATTGGAAGTGCCAGGCGCCACTGATCCGAAACCACTTCAGGTCGTTCACAGCAGCGGGTGGGGTGTCATCGCTGGACACAGCTGCAGCGTGGACCTCCAGCAGAAGCCGGTCGCTGAATAAAGGCAAGTCTCCCTAGCTTTCGCTGATCATGTGCGAAATCTAGCAGCAAATGTTCTGCAACTTGGTGTTGGTGTTCATAGTGCTCACATGCACCCAACCTCTTGTAGCATATCTATTCAAGAGTCTACAACCAGCTGATGTTTCACGCTCGCCAGGCCCACCGGCCTGGGACAACTTGATCCGGGACCACACCTGCAGCTACATCAACACGATCAAAATCCGGCATCCGCAGGAATGGAACAGAAAAACTCAAAACCAACAGCAAGTTCAACTTTACACATCAATTCATGGTTCGGCGAATTCTTGGCCTGACACACAGGAGAACGAAAACACACAGCCCCCTCCAGCCCAACCTGCGAGTAGGTCTCCACTTTGCGGTCCAGCAAGGGCCAATCCGTGAGGTCCGGCCAGGAGGAGAAGGACTCCGGAAAGCTCTTGAGACCCGTGGGAAAGATGAAGTCCTCCAATCCCAAACAGTGAGACTGGCAAGGATAAAAGCTCTGATGGAAAACCTATTTGTTCAGGTTCTATCGCCCTGTGTAGTCTTTGTCGTGGAGGGTCATTTAAACATCAACAAGGCACTCAGCCAAGGAAAAATGGAGTTTTATAAGGCCCTGGCAATCATCCTCAAATTCTGACATCTACAACAAATCATTCTCAAGGTGATGGAGCCCTTCTCTCCGTGAAACCAGATTTCCACAATTGCGCGAGGCAGGAAATTAAAATCCGAGATTAGTTTCACTGGACACCCTGATTTGCATCGTGCTATGAGAACTTCTCAAAATCTGACATCTTTAGGCAAAGCACCAGGGTCCTTCTCTCCATGAAATCTGATTTCCCAAACCACAATCGAGTTGGGGCTGGCGTGGTGCGGGATGGGTTGGGCGTAGTTGCGAGCGATCACACAGGTCATACTCTGGGCAAACCAGGAGTGAATCCGCAAAGTCTCCACCTGATCCCTGCATGGACGGAAAATTGTCATTCTTGTCTCAAAATCTTTTGCATTTGGGAAACCAAATGGTTTTGGGGTGCCCTATGCATCAGAAGCAACTGTTCAGTTGTCACGTGGCACGCACAGAACGGGCACCCAGAGCTGGGACAAACCCCGCCTCTCGTTTTGCATGGTGAGTTTGATCGACTGAGTGGTCACATCGTACTCCGAGACACAAGTGGAACTGCACAATGAGCTCACTGGCACTTGCAGTTCCTCGGGGCTCTGAATTCATTTGATCTAAAGTCTTACAGGTGGTTTGTTCCATCCAAACTATTTTGATGAATCAGTCATATGTTTGGATGGAACCTTATCAAATCAAATTGTGATGCAGGTAAGACTCCAAAGTGTGAGCCTTCTCGGAAGGAACCAAGATGTGGATGTACTTGGGGCCAACTGCTCCAATCACGGCATTCGCAATCTGCTGGCCACTGCCAGACAGCTCTCGCATCCTGAGCACCAAAAACTATGGCATTCTGTATAAGGAGTCCATGTCCAGATTCACCTCTCCCCGTTTTACCAGTACCTTCATGGTTGCTTTCCACCTTCGTGCCGGCATCTTTTTTTCCGGGCTCTCAATTCATACATCCACTCCCTTATGCGCATGACGCGGAGGACCCCCATTCATGAGCACCACAGATCGCGGCACCACAGGGGCAGCCGAGAATCCTCGAGATGGTCCGAAAGATGTGCCGCCCGAAGCTTTCCGCGGCCATCCGGCAGTTGGTCCGAGCGACAGCTTCATCCAACTCCCGCCGGGAGAGCAGCAGGTGAGGATGCGAAGCCGTCCATCCAAGCTGAGACTTCAAAGCTCTCATGCCCAAAATGTCGATGTAGCGACGCAACGGAGATGTAACCTGAGTTCACTGGCAACATAGCTCTTGGTGCCACTCGGAGCGGTTCCTACAACATAAGTCATCAGTCGTTTTCTCGCAACAACTGACTTTTGAAGACTATGCCACCTGCCCATACAAGGGTAGTCTAGATCATGGATCAATTGAGCAGCATTTGACTTAGTAAGCAATGTGTAGCTTGCTCCACAATTGAAGGATAGCTTCAAAATCTGCAGTTGTTTGGAATCTACAGTGCTGGGTGTGGTGGGGCCCAATTACACTATACTACTTGACTGCCCGCATTTTATCAATTGGAGATAGGTGAAAAGCAGAACCTCCTGGAAACTAAAGACTGAGGACGAAACATGAAACCGGGGTTCCCAATGCCACCAATCGCATGGGTCTCTGGAATCACTGGACGCTTGGGAAACCTCGTAGTAGGTTGCTGGAAGGGCAGCATGCAAACGCCTGAGGAAGGAAGAACGACAGGCATGCCTCTGCGTCTTGGTGAGTCCGGGTTGCTTCAAGATGTCTTGCAGCGTTCGCATGATATCCTCAGAGGAAAAATGGTGAAGTGAGGTCTTGGCACAGTAGTTTATCAATAGTGTTGCATTGTAAAACAGAAACTTCAATGCTGCTAAGTATCAGCTATCTGGATCTCCTTGTCTCCATCCGTCTTCTTCAGACGCAACAGGCGCTCAATCACCATTCGCCCGCAGTTTTGGATTCGCCCCTGAATGTGTCTCACTGTGAGCTGTGGATCTTCATCGGGCTCCTTCAAAAGTTGGTTCCAGGCAGTGGCGGTCAACGTTGCTGCAACATATCGATCCACCACGCGCATGCAACCTTGCAACAGGCGCTCCGATGCAAGGAGCGGGCCTGGAATGGAAAGGGCCTCAGCTGTGGCACCAAGTCAAATCTCTGAGGACGATGTTCATCTAAAATATTTGAATCAAGTGAGTTAGCGTCAGGCTATACCAAAGGGCTCCGTGCAAATGTGTTAGTATCCACAAACCATCTGGGTGAACACAAGCAGAGTTGATGTCCCAAGTCTGAAATCTTGACGCCTTCGGTTACCCGGCTCGCAGGCGAGCGTCGATAACCAGGAGTTCTGCAAAGTCAGCCCCCCGAAGCTCCACCACTTGGGAATTGAGGCGTCGAAGCACCTGACCAACATCACCTCCCTCATCAGAGCAGATCATCTCTCCAGCCTCTGCCGGTCAGCATATCCCTGTTGAAGCGGCTCTGAAACATCGTGTTCTGTGCATTCCATGAGTTAAACCTGACCTATACTTTCTCTCTTTGTCCTGGCCTGTTGCGGTGTGAGAATGTGATCGCACCGCACCGTCGTTTCACGCACTGCAAATACTTCTAGGTTTCTCCGGGCCGCCTTGACACAACATTTCTATTGGGCAATTCATAGCAGGTTGCTGTCTATCCCATCAGAGGGACGTCACCAGAACATGCAAATTGAATCTGCTCAACAGTGATGAAAGTCAACTGTAAATGGTTTCGACTGCAGGCCTGGATGGTGAAGGTTACTGCCCGCCTTTCCTCGCCTGCCTTGAAGGTCAGCTTTTCCTAGCAGTCACAACCAAACAGATTCTTGCTTGGCCGGGTCACACTTGTTGTGGGAATATGGGCGGTTGTGTGTGAGGCTGATTTTGCATCTAGCGATAGAAGGCAGCTCGCCTACCTGACTTAGTCGTACAATTTTCCTGGTCTGGCCTCAATGTTGGGCGGGAACAGTGGCAAGTTCGCCTCCAAGGGGTTGTCGAGATGATCCAGGAACCATGCTCCGACTGACCGCTGCCGTAGCAAGTTCTCTATCTTCTCCATCCCCAGAGCATCCAGGTAGGCCTGATCGGTGATAGTCTGAGAGAGTTTATTCCAAACTTCAGGACCACACCCCAAAAACAGGTGAGACTTTTTTTGACAAATGGAAACGAAGAAACTAATCAAAGACAACTGACGTTCACATCCAGCACGTGCACGTGGAATTCGTTTTGGCCGCAGGACATAACCATGCCAATAGGTAGACCTGGATGTTGGATGCCGACAGTCAAACTGCTGCCTTCCATGTAGCTTCTCCTGCCAGTTGTACCCCACCAATTTAACGATTTAATGGCAAAAAGATACAGACACAGCACCTCACCACACAAACATGCCCCCAATGCAGGATATCAGGATATCCCATAAGGATTAAATGTCTTTCCCTGTGACAAAAGGACCAGAAGTTGAGAAAATGAAAATTCTCCTTGGTGGCTTCGGCAAGTCTACGCGAAGTTCACCTCTTGGATTGCCGCGCAGCCAGTCATTGAAATTCAGGGAGATCCTTGGCATCAGAAGAAACCATGGGCCAAGAATGTCTCTAGGGCACGGGTCGGGGAGTTCCCTGTGGCCCCCTTCTCTTAAAACACCCTTCTGTGACGAAGGTTAAAACCAGGCGAAGGACTGCACTGCCTCGAGAATGGACATGTCTGAGTCCCGCGAACTCATCTTCAAGTCCTCCAAATACTGACCTGTCGGCTGTCGGTCACCACTCCAATTGAGCACTTCTACCTGAGCATGAGGGTGATGCGGCTTCAGCGCAGGTTTCAAAATAGGCTGTCAACTACCAAAGGGGACTTGACAGTATCCTAAACTCTCCCGGTGGCCTCACAGCAGCATGAATGTGCCTCCTGGCCTTACCTCCTTCAAGCTTCTTTTGATGGGCAGCTCCTGTTATCCCATTCTTTGTGGATCTTCATGGTCTCTATATTGGTAGGCACAATAAAATGGTATTACGTGATACATCCGAGTTGCAACGTGCAAATCATGGCTGCTGGGCAGTTCCGCGGCTGGGTTCCATGGCACTATGATGACTGGGAGCTTGCCGTTGATTGGCTTGAAGGCGACCTGAGACTGACAGGCACTCACTGCAATGTGATCTTGGGATATCTTGAGAATAGCGGAAATCCTGCTGTTCTGCTATAGCATTGGATGGTTTTTGAGACTGACAGGTTGATCAGGTTCATCTAGTCTGCACAGATCGAACAAACGTGTATTCAGCCAGAGCCACGAAGTTCGGATTGTGCACAACTTTCGGCCTCACGCACACGAAGAGCTTCTGCCTCGGAACTCCGAATTCCATGGCATGGACGATGCGTCCAAAAAGCTCCATCCTGGAATCAAGATGAAGCTGGAAGCCCAAACATCAACACCCTCCATGCTTGGACTTCAAACGCAAACCCGAACAGAGTCTGTTCAAAACCGATCTTTGTGTTGACGAAAACAGAGAATGGTGACTGCATTCCTGTCGCAGGTTGGTATTGCATCATCTCATTGTATAAGAATTTGGCTCTGAAATAAGCAAAAAAAACAAATGTTTTAAACATATATAGTTGTACCAACAGTCCCTCGCCAGGGCGCTGAACCCCCAAGATCCCCAGGTTAACAAACCCAGCCCCACCCATAGAATGTTTTTCTGCAGATTGTAGCGTGAAGGCCCCCACTCAAAACTGAGTAGCGGCTAGCAAACGTTTGTCACGGAAGCATTCTGTTCAAGGGGTATCTGCCCTTGCACTCAGTCCTTTTCGTGTCCACTGGACTTCCATCTGATCGTTCATCGCTGGCCCCCCAGATGCGTGCCTTGGCTTTCTCCAAAAACCAGAGCTTTAGTGCACTGCAGCCTGAAAAATTCGCGAAGTTTCTGTGAAGGCAGAGCTAAGGTGGCGGCATCCAGGATCCGCACGTAGCACCTGTCGTAATCCCATGTGGGACCACGGGTTTTGCCGCCCCAAATCTTCACTTTGCAGCCATGCAATGGCGCAGGCCCTTGATGTACAATGACCTCTCCAGAACCTCAGACTGCTGATCCAAACAATTGGGGCCTTCAGCTACATGATTGGAAATCAAAATCATCAGGTGAAAACTTGATCAACCTAGGCAACCTACTCGCCAATCACGGGTGTGTTGTATCATGTTGTATCTACAAGTCAACCTGAGTGTGAATGCCAAGTGTTTGGGCTCTCTGCTGCCAGGAAGCATTTCCAGACATCCTTGCCGCTGACAGATCGAAAAGTCCCAAAGACAATAAGCCCCGGGAGTTGCTGGAAGGAGTCCAAGATGGAGGGCCTCAAACTTGAAACATATCTTCCCTCTTCAACGACATGCTAATTGTAGTAATCCGTACTTAAAATGTTGAAATATGCAAAAAGGAACCTTAGATAACATTGCAGGAGAAAGCCCCATCTAACATGCATCGATTCCTACAGCTATTTATTGCCCTGTCTGTCTTGTCTTGCCTTTGGACTCGATAGAAGAATTGAAGATGTTGCATGATGTTGCTATGTTTCCAAGATAAGTTACAAACTTAGTGAGTAGAAACCCATTGGTTGTTACGTTGTTCTCCGGTAAGATTGACACTTCTACTTCTAAGGATTCGATCGAACCGAATCTTGTGAAATCGTTTGATGTCTCATTCATCGCGCATTATCTCAAGCAAGACTCTGTCTAGCCATTCGATCCTCCCAGTCATTCGGTGCACCAAGGCAAGATGACTCCATGTCATTGGATGGTGGTATGGAGGTCTCGAAGTCTGTGCCGGAGTCACTACCACTGTCCTCCTCGCGTGGGCCCAACTGTCTGTCCCGTTGTGGAAGAGTGTCTTCAAGGGCAGTCCCAGAGTCAAGTGGTTCACACCAAGGCAAGGCAAGTGTAGGCAATGCATCTGGTGTGGCATAAGCACCGCCCCGCTCTCTCGTCTCGCCTCGCAAAGCAGTGGCAGTTTGCAAATGGTGTGGCTCAACACTTTGACTTTCAGAGTGGTCCATATTCACAGGTGTAGCGATGGAGCAACTTCTTGTCTCATAGTGTTTGTACCTGCAACTAGCACCAAAACCACACTGTAGACCAGGGATGTCCTCGTGCAAGAAAAGTTTTCCCTCGAGGGAATGGTGCCCTTTCAGCCAACACTTTCCAGCCAGCCACATGCAACACACAAACTTGTCAAGCAAAGAAGCCTGCAATTCCGCTGCAAATTTCTCATCGCTTTCATCAGAGTCAGTCGCAGCACTTTCAGATTCAGAGTGCTGGCTCTTCATGATGTCACTGGGTAGACTAGGCTCATGCCAGATCAAAGCCTTGCTTCGAATCCGGTCTGCACCTACCCACTCATCATAATCTGACTCGTAACCATGGTAGTGAACATACACAGGGGCCTCTACTCGGTCTTCCTCATTCGACACCTGCAAGACTTTGCAATGGAAAAGTGAGCCAGAGGCCACATCTTCGACTGTCGCATTCATGCCTTGCTTGAATTTGGAAAAGTCAGGTACTTTCAGCCTTTCCAGCGGAAGCCACTCTGCATGGCACGTGCCTGCTTCTTCCCGTGCAGCGTATCTCACTTTGACGCCTCGAGACCCAGAAATGTCCAGAATCTTGCCTGACACCATCTGTGAGCCGCTGCAGACGCAAATCACCATGCCCTCTTTGAGCTCTCCTTGTTCTGCACAAAAGGCACTTTTTCTCTCATAGTGTTTGTACCAGCAACTTGCACCGAAGCCACACTGTAAACCCTGGATATCCTCGTGCAAGTGCAGCTTCTTTCCGTGAACATGATGCCCTGTATGCAAGCATTTGCCAGCCAACCACCTGCAACACACAACCTTCGGTTCCACGCAAGCTGCTGATTCCTCATCGCTTTCATCAGAGTCAGTCGCAGCACTTTCAGATTCAGAGTGCTGGCTCTTCATGATGTCACTGGGTAGACCAGGCTCATGCCAGATCAAAGCCTTGCTTCGAATCCGGTCTGCACCTACCCACTCATCATAATCTGACTCGTAACCATGGTAGTGAACATACACAGGGGCCTCTACTCGGTCTTCCTCATTCGACACCTGCAAGACTTTGCAATGGAAAAGTGAGCCAGAGGCCACATCTTCGACTGTCGCATTCATGCCTTGCTTGAATTTGGAAAAGTCAGGTACTTTCAGCCTTTCCAGCGGAAGCCACTCTGCATGGCACGTGCCTGCTTCTTCCAGTGCAGCGTATCTCACTTTGACGCCTCGAGACCGAGAAATGTCCAGAATCTTGCCTGACACCATCTGTGAGCCGCTGCAGACGCAAATCACCATGCCCCCTTTGAGCTCTCCTTGTTCTGCGCAAAAGGCACTTTTTCTCTCATAGTGTTTGTACCAGCAACTTGCACCGAAGCCACACTGTAAACCCTGGATATCCTCGTGCAAGTGCAGCTTTTTTCCGTGAACATGATGCCCTGTATGCAAGCATTTGCCAGCCAACCACCTGCAACACACAACCTTCGGTTCCACGCAAGCTGCTGATTCCTCATCGCTTGCATCAGAGGCAGTCGCAGCACTTTCAGATTCAGAGTGCTGGCTCTTCATGATGTCACTGGGTAGACTAGGCTCATGCCAGATCAAAGCCTTGCTTCGAAGCCGGTCTGCACCTACCCACTCATCATAATCTGACTCGTAACCATGGTAGTGAACATACACAGGGGCCTCTACTCGGTCTTCCTCATTCGACACCTGCAAGACTTTGCAATGGAAAAGTGAGCCAGAGGCCACATCTTCGACTGTCGCATTCATGCCTTGCTTGAATTTGGAAAAGTCAGGTACTTTCAGCCTTTCCAGCGGAAGCCACTCTGCATGGCACGTGCCTGCTTCTTCCCGTGCAGCGTATCTCACTTTGACGCCTCGAGACCCAGAAATGTCCAGAATCTTGCCTGACACCATCTGTGAGCCGCTGCAGACGCAAATCACCATGCCCTCTTTGAGCTCTCCTTGTTCTGCACAAAAGGCACTTTTTCTCTCATAGTGTTTGTACCAGCAACTTGCACCGAAGCCACACTGTAAACCCTGGATATCCTCGTGCAAGTGCAGCTTTTTTCCGTGAACATGATGCCCTGTATGCAAGCATTTGCCAGCCAACCACCTGCAACACACAACCTTCGCTTCCATGCAAGCTGCTGATTCCTCATCGCTTGCATCAGAGGCAGTCGCAGCACTTTCAGATTCAGAGTGCTGGCTCTTCATGATGTCACTGGGTAGACTAGGCTCATGCCAGATCAAAGCCTTGCTTCGAATCCGGTCTGCACCTACCCACTCATCATAATCTGACTCGTAACCATGGTAGTGAACATACACAGGGGCCTCTACTCTGTCTTCCTCTTTCGACACCTGCAAGACATTGCAATGGAAAAGTGAACCAGAGTCCACATCTTCGACAGTCGCATGCATGCCTTGCTTGAGCTTGGAAAAGTTGGGAACTTTCAGCCTTTCCAGCGGAAACCAATCGACTGTAAATGAGCCTGATTGGCCAGTGGCAGTGCTGCCCCTGTAGCGCACTTTGACACCGCGAGACCGAGAAACTTCCAGAATCTTGCCAACTAGTAATCTTGAGCCACTGCCCATGCTGCCTGTCACACAAACCACCATGTTTTCTTTGAGTTCTGCACACCCTTCAGTGGACCCATTTCTTGTCTCAGAGCTTTTGCAAGAGGGCTGAGTGGCACTTTCAGTCATGGGTTGGTGGTGCTCAACACACTGACTTCCCAAAGCTCTGGCAAGCTGCAGAGTCACTGGAGGTGATGCCTGTGCAGTGCCACTGGTGCTGAGAGATTCTCTTCTCCGCGCATTTTGAGGGCCTGATTTGTTGAAGTACTGCAGACGGAGTTGTGAGCTTTCGGACAAGGTCTGCACAGTGACAGGCATGTCAGCCATGGAATCGCACCACTCTTGTGAATTGCGAAAAAGAGGTTTGCCCATGTGCCAGGCTTCCGGCAATTTCCCATGCAATTGAATGGAAAGGCCATCCACCATGGTATCCATATTCGCGAACTGACTGGCAATCTCCGGGTCTTCCGCTTTGTACAAACGGCACGGTGCCAACACAGTTCGGTCTCTCCAGATGCCTTGAAGAGCGCACAAGGCAAGACCGCGGCGATGTCCTCTCACAATGTGCAGCCCGTGCTCGTTCACCACGACCTGAAGTGGTTCGACGTCTTCTGGACGCTGCCTACCGCTCAGCATGTCATGCATGAGCTCATAGACAGAAGAATCCTGCAAACCAACTACAGGAGAACCCCACAATCTGCATTCATTTTCACAGAATCAAGAAGAACAAGCTTGATCCAAGCACTTCCTAGTGAGGGCTGAGACTACTTACTTGAATTCAAGACGGATCCTTATCTATATAATAAATCTGAATCAGTCTATACATGTCAGTATCGCGACCCATGCAGCTCAATTTCAGTAATTAGGGCGGAGCAGAAATGAAAGCGACAGTTTCACTCTTGACACAAGCAATCAAAAAAAGGCGTCTGCCCATGGATGTCTGTCCTTGTTTTTTCCAGAAGTAAATGTCATCTCCGACCGCACCTTTCCCTGGATCGAGCGCAGGCACCAAATGGGTATCAGCACCACATGTCCATTGCGAATGCTTTGTGGGTCAGGCCTCAAAAAACTGGGTCAGCCATCATGTGACAAAAAATCGAAGGGGACAACGGCCCGTCCCGGAACGATACATCCGAAGCAACAGCACTTGTGATGACCAGTTCACCTGCCACTGAAATATGGAAGACTTTGCTGAACAGTCCAAGATTCTGAAATGCAGTGACATCCTTTGCACAAGGTATCAGTTTTAGCACCGGTGATTCAACCGATTTCCTGGACGCCTGGGTCACTTGTGGACCGGCTGGAGCAGCATCCGCGTGCTCCAGGAACTTGAGCGTCGTTAGCTTTGCATGCTCCTTCAGGATGACACGAAGATGGACTTTTTTCACCAAATCCTTCAGATCATCTTCGAGGTCTGCACTTTCCTTATCGTTTGTAAGGCAAACTTAACAGAAGGTTGACTCAATAAACAGTTTCAACGTCAGTCTGAGTCTGAAACAAGCCACTGTTTCAATCAGGAACTGTCCATTGTATCCCAGGTCATCGAACTTGGCAGCATACCCCTCCAAGTCTAAATGGATATCCCTCAGCCATTCTCGGATGCTTCGGTGCGGAAACGCCATGCATGTTGACGCTTCAGCCCACAGGAGTCAATCGGAACACGGCATGGGGTCTGGGGTTCTCATCGGTGCGGGCAGCACTGGGGATCTGAGTTGGTGGAAAGACAACATGGGGATAAGACCCTAACAATTCAACAGCCTTTTGCAAATCGGAGTCCTTGCTCGGAATCTCAATGCACCATGCGCATCCTCTTGAATCAGACATCCATCTTGCCGTGTGTGGAACCAGGTCTGCAATGTCTTTATCGCTGGAGCCATACAGCTTCAGGCTGCTCAACTCCACTGAGTGGCATCGGGTAAAACCGCATCGATGCCTACAAGTTGCCCGCCAGGCCGCCAGGCCATGGACAATATGGACATTGAACCTGACCTTGCAGGAACATACATGGAGATCATGTTGGCACAGTCGAACACATTGAACCATCCATCGCATCTGACCTACTGATACTCTGATACACAACCCACCTGGCTAGCGACGAAATTTGCGTGCTGTGGGACCCTTTTTCCTACACGAAGACTAGGTCTGGGCTTGACCAAAATTGGGAAGAGCAAATCATGGGCAAACTATACGTACAACAATAATCAACAGCGAACTACTTTACAGATTCGGTACTCCCAATTTTTGCCTATTTGTAAAAGATGTCGAAGGCTACTGAGCTCAAAGGTATCAATGCCTTCATCTAAGCACTGCGAAATGTGTTGCCTTGGGCTGGAGCCCATGGCAATTTCGAACACTGGCGGCTTCCGACGCATCTGCACGCCCGTCAATAGCCTTTGGGAAAGATCAATGGCGCACGACAGCCCAGCGAATTTCTTTTGGTCTTAGTTAGATTAGATCCTGATCTTATCAAATCTTAAGGTTGAATTAAGTTCAACAAATAACATTGCTGCTCTTCCAGAAATCACTGGGACGCCCTGTGTGCACGGACAGATGCAATAAATCTATTCTGACTCAGGATACATTTGGAGCTTCGCAAGCTGTGAATAAAGTCACGGAAGTCTTTCGATCCTTTACTCAACACATCTGCATTTCCAACACAAATGAGCCCGTACTTGGCTCGTGTGATGGCCACATTCAAAACCCTGTAGTTTTCAAGGATGCCCAGACTTTTTTGGTACATCTCCTGCACCGGCTCACTCAAACTTTGTGACTTGCTGACAACAAACGCCAAAAGCCACCCCTCAACCAGCCTCCCCACAAAAAAAAAATCACCCCGTGAGCTCATGTAAGATTCATCCACCAGCCAACAGCTACCAGTTCTCCTGCAGCGCCACGGAGTCCCCAGCAGTCTTTGCCACGGAGGTGACCACGTCCTCGTCCTGCGAGGTGCTGCGGACAAAGCTCACGATGATGTATTCGCGCTCCGAGCCCTGCAAGCATTGCACGCAAGAGGCAGGCTAAAGGCTGCTGGAACACATCTACAAAACACCAGATGCTGGGTTTTGCTCATCGTTTGGTTTCACTCAAATGTGACAATCGTTCCGCCCCCCCTCATTTTTTAAAGAGCCAAGCATTGTAAGTAGCCTGCAGAGCGTGCACGGTGCCCACCAAGATTGACTTCGAGTGGGAGCCAACATCTTTGTCTCTTGCTAACCTGTACCACTCAAATGGCTTTAGTGCCCATGACGCGCACAACTAGTTATACAACAACTTTTTAGAGACATACTTTCCTTAATCCAGGTAGGGCCAACTAGGCGACGTCGTGCTTGGCTGATTTAACTTGGTTGATCTCACTCAATGCATCCGATGAAGGAGAAAAAATTGTCCTTAAACTCTTGGGAAAGGAAGCAACGCACCAAACAAGAAGCCCTGCCTGGCACGAATCTCGTGCTGCTGGGCTTTGTAGGGTGTGATCACTGCAATGTCTCGTGCTGCACATTTCTGTCGCAGCAACGCCGCGCAGGCAGCCACCACAGATCGAGCCTCCCCCACGTTCTTCAAGGAAACCTCGAGGGGCTAAGCTCTGGATTCTTAGTCTTGCAAGTAAGAGACCAGGTAAAGAACAACTTCAGCCACATCGATTTGACAATAAACCCAATTGTCCAGCTTAAGTCCTGTGTTTGTTCCCTGAACTTCCTCGGCAAAAACTGCAACAAAACATGAGATCGGCCGAAGTCGCAGCTGTTCGGTTCCGCGCCTTGCTCTCCATCAACGCCGCATCGCAGGTTTGCGTCAGCTCGGGTGAGAGGCCCATGGATTGGGGCATCTGGCAATCGATGAAGATCCGATGGTCCTGTAGCCAAGCATCAAAAACATGCAAAAACAATCAAAAACAATTTCTAAAAAAAAATACACCCGCTGATGAATCATGCCTGATTCAGTAAGTGTATGATAAATCCCCAGGTATGACCCCGCCAGTCAACACTTTTGCAATCCCAGCTCCTTCTTCTGTGGCCAGACGCAGTTCAGCTTCGGTCGATGGGGGATGGACACCTGGTCCTCCAGCATGGACTGATAGAACTGCGATGATGGAAAGCTCCGGATAGAAGGATGCATGCGGTACCTTGGTATCCCACGGTGTCTCGAGAGAAGGCTGGGGATGGATTGACTTGACGTATATGGAGCCTCATCCAAATTCCCTGCTACCGAGCCCCCACACCTTTGGAAGACTTCTCCTTGCTTTGCAACCCTTCGCCCCCCCTTCCTCAGTATCACTTCTCATCCCCTTGCAAACTATCTTGTTCCGAACCCCAACGGATGCTGCTCTCCGTTGAGCTTCGGAGTTCCTCCATTTTCCTCCTGTTTTTAACGATTTTCCTTCGTTTTCTTTCGTTTTTTTCCAACCTTTTTCCTGCCGTTCGTCCACTTTCCTCCGTTTTCCTCCTCCGTAACCTCCCGCAACCTACTGTAACCTCCCATGGCCCCCCGTGACCTCCCCTGACCCGTGACCTCCTCCAGGCCAGGATTTGGCCCAAAACGGCCTTTTCCCAATGATCCCAGAAGAGAAATTCAATAGGCGGCCGAGGGGCCGCCAAATGGCAGACATTTGCTCCCATGACCTCCTGTGACCTCCCGGCTAGGATTTGGACCAAAACGGCCGTTTCCCAATGATCCCAGAAGAGAAATTCAATAGACGACCGGATTGCCGCTAAATGATAGAAAGTTGCTCGCATGCTTCCCCGTAACCTCTCGTAGCCAACTGTCACCTCCCTCCCATACAGAGACAGACACAGACACAGACAGACATACACACAGCACTCTACACTTTACACTCTACACTTTACACTCTACACTTTAACTCTACACTCCACACTTTGCACGTTACGCTTTACACTCTACACTCCACACTCCACACTTTACACTCCACACTCTACACTTTACACTCTACACTTTACACTTTACACTTTACACTCCCCACTCCACACTCTACACTTTACACACTACACTTTACACTCTACACTTTACACTCCACACTCTACACTTTACACACTACACATTACACTCGACACTCTTCACTCTACACTCCATACTTTACACTTTACGCTTTACACTCCTCACTCCTCACTGCACACTTTACACTCCACACTCTACACTTTACACTCTACACTTTACACTCTACACTCTACACTCCACACTTTGCACTTCACACTTTGCACTCCATATTCCACACTTTACACTCCACACTCTACACTTTACACTCTAAACTTTAAACTCTAGACTCTTCACTCTACACTTCATACTTTACACGTTACACTTTACACTCCTCACTCCTCACTGCACACTTTACACCCCACACTCCACACTTTACACTCCACACTCTACACTTACACTCGACACTTTACACTCCACACTCCACACTTTACACTCCACACTCTACAGTTTACACTCCACACTCTACACTCTACACTTTACACACTACACTTTACACTCTACACTCTTCACTCTCCACTCCATACTTTACACTTTACACTTTACTCGCCTCACTCCTCACTGCACACTTGACGCTCCACACTCCACACTTTACACTCCACACTCTACACTTTACACTCTACACTTTACAGTCTACACTCTACACTCCACACTTTACTCTGTACACTCCTCACTCCACACTCCACACTTTACACTCCACACCTTACACTTTAAACTCTACAGTTGACACTCTACACTGAACACTCCACACCTTACACTTTACACTGTACACCCCTCACTCCACACTCTGCACTTTACACTCTACACTTTACACACTACACTTGACACTCGACACTCTACACTCCATACTTTACACTTTACACTTTACACTCCTCACTCCTCACTGCACACTTTACACTCCACACTCCACACTTTACACTCCACACTCTACACTTTACACTCTACACTTTACACTCTACACTCTACACTACACTTTCCACTCCACACTCCACACTCTACACTTTACACTTGACATTTCTGTCATTTTCTTTGGTTTTCTCCTACCTTCTCCTGCCGTTCCTCCACTTTCCTCCGTTTTCCCCCTCCGTAACCGCCCGTAACCTCCCGTAACCTCCCATGACCTCCCGTGACCTCCCGTGACCTCCCGGCCAGGATTTGGCCCAAAACGGCCGTTTCCCAATGATCCCGGAAGAGAAATTCAATAGTCGACCGAAGGGCCGCTAAATGGCAGAAAGTTGCTCCCATGCCTCCCCATAACCTCGCGTAACCAACTGTAACCTCCCTCCATACAGAGACAGACAAAGACACAGACAGACACAGACACAGAAAAAAAGCTCCACACTCTACACTCTTCACTCTACACGTTACACTTTACACGTTACACTTTACACTCTACACTTTACACTCTACACTCCACACTCCACACTTTACACTCCACACTCTACACTTTACACTCTACACTTTACACTTTACACTTTACACTCCACACTCCACACTCTACACTTTACACACTACACTGTGCACTCTACACTCTTCACTCTACACTCCATACTTTACACTTTACACTTTACACTTTACACTCCTCACTCCTCACTACACACTTTATTTACACTCCACACTCCACACTTCACACTCCACACTCTACACTCTACAGTCTACACTTTACACTCTACACTCTACACTCCACACTTTGCACTTTACACTTTACACTCCACACTCCGCACTTTGCACTCCACACTCCACACTCTACACTTTACATACTACACTTTACACTCTACATTCTTCACTCTTCACTCTACGCTCCATACTTTCACGTTACACTTTACACTCCTCACTCCTCACTCCTCACTGCATACTTTACACGCCACACTCCACACTTTACACCCCACACTCTACACTTTACACTCTACACTTTACACTCTACACTCTAGACTCCACACTGTGACTCCACACTTTACACTTTACACTCCATACTCCACACTTTACACTCCACACTCTACACTTTAAGCTCCACACTCCACACTCTACACTTTACACACTACACTTTACACTCTACACTCTTCAGTCTCCACTCCAGACTTTACACTTTACACTTTACACTTTACACTCCTCACTCCTCACTGCACACTTTACACTCCACACTCCACCCTTTACACTCCACACTCTACACTTTACACTCTACACTTTGCACTCTACACTCTACACTCCACACTTTACACTTTACACTGTACACTCCTCACTCCACACTCCACACTTTATACTCCATACTCTACACTTTAAACTCTACACTTGACACTCTACACTCTACACTCCACACCTTACACTTTACACTGTACACCCCTCACTCCACACTTTGTGTCAAAGATGATGTGTGACAAAGATGTGTGGGACAAAGTTGTGTGCGAAAGATGGTGTGTGACAGAGTTGTGTGTGAAAGATGGTGGGTGAAAGATTGTATGTCACTCCACACTCCAGACTCCACACTCCTCACTGCACACTTTACACTCCACACTTCACACTCTACACTTTACACTTGACACTCCAGACTTTACACTTGACGCTCTGCACTTTACACTTTACACTCTGCCCTTTACACTCTACCCTCTACGCTCCACACTTTACACTTTGCACTGCACACTCCCCCCACAACAGTCAATCTCCACCCCCTACTGTCATGATCCTCGGCCTGCTGGTTCATCGTCTACTAGAAGCCCAAACCATCTGCAGCACCTTTGGAATTGTTATCCTTGCTTTGCAATCCTTCGCTACCCCTTCCTCAGTATCACTTCTCATCCCCTTGCAAACTCTCTTGTTCCGAACCCCAATGAACGCTGCTCTCCGTTGAGCCACTTTACACTGCACAGTCCCCCCACAACAGTCACTCTCCACCCCCTACTGTACTGATCCTCAGCCCGCCGGTTCGTCTACTAGAAGCCCAAACTATCTACAGCACCTTTGGAATTGTTATCCTTGCTTTGCAACCCTTCGCCACCCCTTCCTCAGTATCACTTCTCATCCCCTTGCAAACTCTCTTGTTCCGAACCCCAACGAAAGCTGCTCTCCGTTGAGCTTCGGACTTCCTCCATTTTCCTCCGTTTTCCCCCTGCTTTGGACGATGTTCTTTCATTTTCTGTCGTTTTTTTCCTACCTTTTTCCTGTCATTCCTCCATGTTCCTCCACTTTCCCCCTGTTTTCAACGATTTTTCCTCATCTTCCTTTTTCCTGCCGGAGTCAACGGACCTAGGGGGAATCGAAGCCTTCCGTCACCTCTTTGCGTAGTGGTACATGCCCCCCAAAAAAGTTCAATTTGGACGCCCTCCGCTGCAACTAATTTGGAGATTTTGACTCCGCACGCGACGTCCACCCGCCAGACCCCCTAATACTCACTTCGTTCGCCAAAACAACTTTGCCTAGCCTATCGGCTGGCTTTCGTAAAGAAGGAATTCACTGCTACACAACATGTACCGGCTCTTTGGCAGAGGCATCCCTCCAAAAAGATTTCGCAAAAGCACACGTGCACGTGTCTGCGTGACTCCCTTGATTGATCATTTTGGGTCTTCTAAGTCTCATATTCGAATATACTGTACTTTTCAAAACACTAAAACCTTCCAAGGGCAAGCAGAGTTGCTGCATGTTCAGCATGGTGCTGGTCGACAAGCGCCGAGGGTTCTGATGCAGCCTCTCTAGAAATGGTGTCTCCAAAGCGCTGACATAAGGTGCACATAAGTTGTGTTCTGTCACCACTGGCCCTGGCCGCGAGCGCGATTGTTCAGAAACACTGAGGGCTGAGAGTGCTAGCCAACAAGTGCCCTCCCTATCTGAGCTGCTGGACATGCAACATGTGCTGCAGGATAGCTACGTGAACACCCGCCCCCGGCCTAGCTGCTTGTGATCTCCCACCACGATGACGCGGCAGCTGGCTGACGTGGCCGGCAGGACAATGTCCGGTTCGCTGGCCTGCGCCGCCTCATCGATGACGATGCTGTCGAAGCTCACTGGGCGAACCACGTGGGGCGGTTCGCCCTTGACCAGAGCCGTGTGGAGATAAGCCTCAGCTGCTTGGATTGTTTGGTCAACCGGGATTTGTTTTCCTTTGCACCCATGGCCCATAGTCAGTCTAATGTTGTAGCCGCTTGGTTTGATTGATCCACTTTAAAAGAAATATACAGGAAGAACAGCTCCAGCTGAGAAGCATTCGTGCAGGTAGTAATCACAATTCGGCTGTCACGAAGGATCTGCACCTCTTCGGCTTCATACAATTTGTCGAAGGCTTCTTGACTCCTTCCCGAAGGGAGACTCTTCACCTGAGGGCACCCAGTTGCAGCAGATGCCAACAAGCTCAATAGACCAAGTATGCTAAGATATGCTAAGTATGCATGAAGTCAATGTGGTGTGAGCATCAAAATCACTGAGTTTCTGGTAGAAGCCACCTACACCTTTTCTACACCCAGCCCTGCCGTCACCGTATGCGTCTTTGAACCACGGGCCTTGGGCGACTCACCCACCTTCCAGTGGAGCGCATGCTCTTCTAAGTGTGGTTGAATCTCAAACCTTCCCTCTGACTTGGCTGTCCTCAAATGTTCGAGCATGGATCGCTTTCGCCAATGCAAGGAGAATCTACTGGACACAAAATCAGAAGCACGGACCAAAGAAAAGGGTTGGCGAAACACAAATTCTTTCTAAGCAAGTGTTGGTTGTCCCACCCTTGTACCCGCTTCCGTGACATCTTTCAATGCCCCTGGAATATATGCGCGTCACGTAGTGGGGCGATATGCCAGCGCTTATCACTCGGTCCAAGATGTGGTCCGCTGCATGATTGGACGGTGCGCAGACTAAGATTCGGCCGTCCCCTCAGCAGAACACACGTTGGATCTGTGCTACCTTGCAACTTGAATTCCTCAACCTGCCCGAAGTCAAACAATGCTTGTTTTCCACCCAACCTGCCTTTCCAACGGTGTCTTGGGGCTGACAAGAGAGCGGCCACGCACTGAACCAGCATGGAGGTCTTGCCTGTCCCTGGCGGTCCCTGAACCATTGAGAACGGCCTTTGCAGGGCCCTCTGAATCGCCAGCGTTTGCTTCTCATTCAGTTTCCTCGCGCAAGCCGACTGCATTGCACACTTCACCTTGCCAGGGCATCAGTTACACCTGGAAACTCTTTGATTACTGCAACTCACAGGGAATGGGCATCTGGGCATGGGTTTTAGATATTTTTAGATGGTTTGAATATATTCGATTACGGTATATTCGACTATTATATAATGTGAATGACCTCGACCTTGTCGATGTGCTTGTAGCTCTTACTGAATTTGATGTTGTCCCCAATGGTGAACCGCGGCAGCAAGCATGTCACTTTTCTTGGACGGGCGAGTGGCATCTTGAGCCACGAACGGCGGGGATAGCGAAGCTGTACAAATCTGCAACTGGAAGTCAACTGTGGTTTGCATTCCAATCTCACCCCCCATGCCCGGCGTCCCCTGGTCGCGGTAGATTTACCTACGACCGGGGCGCCGAGCAAAGGATCGCGCGTGATAGATCAAAAATTGGAATCTAAAGTCGCTCTCCCGCCAATTATTCGCCTCTTTGCATTTACATGCAATTGTTCTGTTTAGGGTTCGCGTACTAGCCGTGGTAGATCTACCCTCGGCGTTCCGCTTGCCCATTTTGAATTAATTCGCAGTTCTTAGGCCCTTGAAAATCATCCTGTCGCATTAGGAAGTCTTCGTATCCTAAATGCATAGGATTCATATGAATTAGCCCGGCACTCAGACTCCTCTCATAGGATCTCTTCATTGATATAGACCCAGAGAAGTTCACCTCTTGCGCCGTTTCTTGCCAGTGTCGGTCTCCTTGGTGCTCGCCGAAGCCTGTTCTTCTGCGGGTTGATCATCACCAAGTGCTCGAACATATTGCCTGGCAATTTCACGTTCTGCAGGATCAAGGGATCTGAGACACGTAGCCATCTGTGCTGCGCTCTGTTGTACCGCTTTGAGCTTTCCTTGCCAAACTTTGCGTAGTTGCTGAGGTAGCTCCAGGCCGATCTTGTTGAGCGTCACGAGGATGGCAAATGTTCTGCACCTTTCCGTCACTGCACACGCTAGTTCTACAGGATCAATATGAACATGATCGTCCCGCTGAGGTGGTGTGACACGAAAATAGTCGTAGGAACGTACGGCAAATGCACCGGAGATAATCTTCCTGACAAAGTCAGATGATTCCCGTCGTGCTTCTGCTTGCCGTTCGTCGTCCTCGTCCATGTTGTCGGCGACCTTGGCATAGATGAGTTGAGGAGTGATGCCAATCTGGATCAAGTACTTCATAATCTTGCAAAGTACTCGAATGCCGTTCACTCCCTTCAAATAGGTTTCCAAATCACGTCCGCCAATCTTCCCATTCTTTGCGTTCGCATGGAATGAGGCGATCAGCTGCGCTTCTGTTGGTTCCTTCAATTCGCCGTTTGCAGTTTCGCCCACGTATGGTATGTATCCGTCAAATTCAGGAATGAGATTGAGCCTCAACACGTGGTCATGATACTGCTTGGCTGGTGCCACTGAAGTCCACAGATGAAATAGCCGAAATCGATCCTTGAGATAGCTCAGAATCATGCAGTCCATCGCGCGAGCTGTGCTGTCGATGGCGTCCTCATTCTGGGCGATATCGATACATTGAATAAGTGAAGCTTGGATGATCCTTGTTGTCCAAATAGGCAATCGCATGCTTGCTTCTCGTCGCTCTTCATCTTGGTCTTGTTCTTTGGCAACCTTCTCATCTTCTTCTTCTTCTTGTTGCTCTTTGGTATTGTCACCGAATACAACTTTCTGATCAGGTACATTGCGTCGACGTTCTTCTTCATGCTTGACGTCCTCGTGGCTCGATTTGGCGTCGGTCATGTCAATATCATCATCCGGCGCCTCTTCAGTATTCTTCTTCGACTCCCTGACCAGTCTGTCGATCTCCTCCTGGTCCTCGTTCTCCATCTCGACGTCATCGTCATCAGCACCTTGACCATCTCCGCTTTCTTGTCTTTCTCTTTCTGGCATTCCAGGGGCAGTGCTTTCATCTTTCTCGGCTTCTTTCTCCCCCCAGCTGACAAGCGTTCCATGGCATCTGATGCAGATAGATAGAATGTTTGGAGTCTCAGTAAGGCATGCTGGGCATATCAAGTGTCCAGCTTCTCCCGGAGTGTAGTTCTCGGAAATGAACGTCACGATGTCGTTCCTCAGCTCACTATTTGGGCTGAGGGCTCCACTGAGTGATTCAAGTTTTGCAACATCCTCAACGAACTTGTCGTAGAACGGAATGTTGTCCTCGCTGTCAATGTCATCCAGCAAGGCCTTGGAGACACGAAGCACCGTGTTTGCCGTTGCAATCTCCTTTGGTTCTTGACATGATCTTACCAATTGAAACTTTCCAGAATCAACCACCAGTCGTTCCCAATCATAGTTGTTATTCTGATACCACGCTGCAATCACTTCGGAGAAGGGAATGTTCCCGTTCACCACCATTTGTCCAGACGCGTTGATCATGATTCCAAGACTCATGAGTCGATGAACGCTGAATGTGAGGACCATGCGAGGTTGTCCTAGGTGTGTCAATTGCCCTCCTAGGATCTCCCTATATCGCTTGTCCCATGGCACAAATGGATTGAGGAAAACTTGTGTTCGTCCTCCTCGGTGTCCTCCAGGTCGAAGACCCTCCTTGATGATGCCGACCACGTTCTTGAACTCGGTCACGTGATGGCAAAACCAAATATCGTCTGCGATCCTTGTTGTGATCGGGTGACAAATCTTGCTATAGTCAAGGCGAAAATCTGATCCACGGGCTGAAAATCCTCCGGGTGAACGCACGGCAATAGGTGCTAGGAAGACTTCACCACGTTGCGCAATGAGATCATGGATGTCATCACCGACTCCCATGACCTTCCTGAGGTAATCATCGGGCTTGTCGAAGGTAGAGTCAAGAACAATGCATAGGAATTGGATGCGGATCTTGTTCTTCTCTTGAAACTCTGACCAAACAGTCTTGATCATGGTCTTGATGCGCTCCGCTCGGAAGTCGACACCAATCAGTCCGTCATCCTCCGTCTTGACCTGTTCGTGATCGAAGATCCATGGGTGATGCAGGAAATTCCATAATGTCCACCCATCCGGCTTCGTCACATCTAAGCCCGGAGAACGTTGTTACCCTTCTGCCAGAAGTTCTTTCCCACACTTCTCTTCGTCCGATGTGGTGTCTCAGGGCCTTGTTGAAGTAGTAACTGTACGTCTTCTCCCAATCCTCCATGAAGACACGGTTGGCTCTGGATTCGGTCGGTAGAGGATATTCTACTCCTGGTCCGACAAAGCGTTCGGAGTAAAACTTGCCGCCGTTGACCGGAAGAATCTTGAGCTTCCCGATGTCCGTGCCGATGCTGAGCTTCCTGTACATCCTGTGATCGGAGTAAGGAACAGCCGACTTCATCTCTTTGCAAGTCATAGTGATGCCCCTTTGACTTGCCGTGTCGACAATGTCGTTCAGCTCGCCTTTTGATCTGGGGCCCTTCTCTTCGGCTTTCACTCCATTGATGCTCTTTTCTCCATGGGCACGGTCTCCAATGACTGAAAGTGGGATTGCTTGAAGGTACATGTACTCTCCAGCCCTGGTTGCTTTGTAGTTCTCCTGGCGGAAACGTTGCTCCTCATCATCATCTCTTTTGGGAGCTTCATCCTTCTCCACATCGTCACCCTGAAGTTTCTTCTTCAAGTTGGTCAATGCTGACTTGACTGGATCATTGCCTTGCTTGGGACATTCATAGTTGGGATGACCACTTTCACCACATTTCAGGCAGACGTTGTTGTCATCCGCGAGGGCAAAGAGCGCGTTGATGGCCTCGACGATGGCACCCTTGTCCTGAGAGATCTGGAATTCCTCTTCAGGATTTGATGGAGATTTAGGTGCTCCGTGCATGTCCGGGGTGGTCGACGAACCTGCCCCTTCCGCACTAGCACCAGCTCCTCCGGTCGTCGGTCCTGGGGTGGTCGACGTACCATCCCCGGTCCTTGGACCTTCGGGCTCCATGTTGTCATCATTGGTGTCATCAGCCTTGGACCTCAGGTAGTTTTCGTTGATGACGCTGATCTCCTTGTCCTCAATCAGGCATGCATACTGCAATCCATGGTACATCGGGATGTCGCGTAGGATCTGGTTCACCAATGTCTCCTCATAGTTGGTAGGTTCGGTGATCCTTGATCCACCTCTCTTCGTACTTGGAGTTGTGGTAGATCTTGTTGTCCCATGGAAGATGTTGATGGATGCTTCCAGGCCTGCAAGAAGCTCACCTGGATCGGCCTTTGTTTCCATGAATGTGATCTGTGATTTCGTCATGTTGGCCACATCCAACATTCCAAGCCACATTTCGACCACGTCTCCACATTTCTCGGCCGTTGCATCAGCATATCCCATGACATCCGCGAAATCATCTCCGAGCACCATCTTGAGGTAGTCCTTGTAGAAGACATTCCCATAGTCCTTGGTGACACGATAGGCAAATCGCTCACGGGCATCATTGCCTTCACCCAGAGTGAACTCTTCTCGGATAACACCGTATTGTCTTCCACGTTTCCCAACGAAGATCTGTTTGACTCGATCCCTGGGAACTCTGACCATACCAAAGTGCGACAGCGCCTTCATGAGGATCTCGCCGTGCTCGCAACCTTTGTTGCCCACCATGGATTTGGTGATGTCCTTAAGGAACTGCACGAAGTCCTTCTGAGGGTCTGTCACTGGATTGCCTGATTCCATCATGTAGTTGAAGAATGCACGAGACCGTGCCGCCGTTTTCACGATCGTCTTCCTCTGGTATTCTGGCGGCCAAAGTTGGTAGTCCCTCATCGTCTCGCTTGCTCGGCAAGCGATGCATTCTTTTCCATAGTTGAAGTCTTGCCTCAATTGATCAGTCGGCATAACATCATCATCATCCCCAAGATAATGTCCTTGGCATAGGATCATCTCATCTCGCCCATGGTTGACGTAGAACCACATGTCATACATGTTTGCCGATGGCTCAGGAAGAACCGATCTGACCGTGGCCTCGATCCATGGTGCCTTCTCATACTCGACGTTTGATCTTCTTCTTCCACCTCCAACGGTACCTGTGCGCGTTGATTCCGTGCTCGCGGTGTCAGGTACTCCGCCTCCTGTTCCAATCTGAATTGATAGAGGTTCTTTGAGCACGTCCTCCATCAGCTCCAGGTTGATGCCGACCTTCATGGAAGATTCCCTCACCATGTCATTCAATCCCTTCGCGGCTTCGACGTTGAGGGAACACATCAACAACACCCTCTGTCGAAACAAGAACTTCTCCATGGTGGCGAAGACTCCCAATCTTTCCGGCCTATTTTGATTGTTCATATAGTGATTGCCGGCATGACCATACATCAATCGCCACATCCCATCATCAGTTGTAACCATGATTCCGAAGCTTCTCAGGATGTCGGCTGAATCAATGGCGATGTCCTGGATGCCTGATCGGATACCATGAAATCTTGGATCTTTGCAGAGTGATACAAAGATTGGTCTCGTTGCCGACTTGTCGACCTTTCGGATCGCCTCGGCGAGCCTCTCTGCATAGTTCCTCTCAACCCAAACGTGGTATGGATGAGTGTCCGTGATGAGGAATGCAAAAGATATCCAGAAATGGATGGTCACGTTCTCCTCGGCTGTAATGTTTGGCATCACGCTCTTGATCAAGTGCTCGACGGCATCGAGGAACTTCTGGGCTCTGGTCACGCTCTTGAAGCTGTTGATGTCAATGACCGTGACGACATACCCCATCTCATCGAGCCCATGCTGGATGTTCGTTGTCCCCCCTGAGTTCGCTTGGCACTTGTAGTTGAGATCCGTGATCAAAATGGTCTTGCCAAACCTGAACTTTCCTGCCAATTCATCTTTCTCCTTTCTCACCGTTGGCTTCTCCACAATGGTCCCACCGATGCCTGACATCAGGCCTCGCTTCCACTTGTCGTAGCTGCGATCGGTGGCCCGTGCATCGTCATTCTTCTCCACCGTGACTGTCATGGACCCAACAGAGAGGTAGTAGTTCTGGTAAACCAACCCCCCACGCTTTGTTGCAGCGTTGTAGATCCTCAGCCACTCCATGTCGCTGTATGGGTAGGATGCTTCACCAATCTCTCTTGCATGGCGAGTCCAAAGCATAGGCAGGTGTAGGTAGCCACCCTCCTGAGATATTGACGCCAAGTTGATTGTACATTGTGCGCCATTGGTCCTTGGACATGCGACAAGGCAAACTCGGTGTCAGCAGTACCCACATGGGAATTCAAGATTGACCTCACCTGAGTTCCCGTGTAGTCCGTCAACACTTTGCAGTAGGTGATCACGCTTGACGGTGTCATTGGTGGGACGTAGTCCGTTGCTGGAGTCTCACGCCTTGGCATTGGCTTCGCCGCAGGCTTGGGTGCCGCCTGTGGCGGTGGCGGTGGTGGTCCAGCCGAACCTGATGCCTGAGATCCCGACGCACTCGGTCCTGGTGGTGCCGATGGTGATGTCGGTCTTGCCTTCGGTGGTGGAGGTTGTGCCGACGGGTAAGGCTGTGGTGGTGCCTTGTATCCAGGTGGTGGCATAGGAGGTGTTTTCGGCGAGAACCTGTTGACCCTTGGTGCTGGCACTGTTGGATCTTGCATCGTGACCCATTCAGGGACCCACGATCTCGGTGGTTCTGGTGGCCAAACTCCATCACCAAACCTCAAGACTTTTCTCCATCCACTTGCTGCCACTTGTACCCCAGGCTGTCCTCCACCAGCCTGAGTTTCCGAGAGAGTCGTCATGAAGTCCCTCAGGGCAGAAAAGCATTTGTTTCGTTTCTTGATCTCACCGTGGTTGCCCTCTTCGACGTTGATGACGTTGTAGCCATGATTCTGCAAGATTTCTGAAGTGAGCATCAGAGATTGTTGAATCTTGGCAAAGTAATCGTCAATCTTCTTGATGTTCGTCCTCGCAATCTCGGAGAAATGCCACAACCTATCCAGCTTAGCCCTGGCTCTGAAGATCGGTGGCGACAGAGCTAGGATGCAGGTGAAATGATTCACCGCGGCAGCTCGTTCGCGGCCCAACTTGGTGTTCTGCTCGATGAGGTCATTGATCGTTGTCTCCAACGTCATAGGATCTGTCATCTCTCCCTCATCGTCGACCTTTTGGTTGTAGCATCTCCATGCATGCCCAAGATGGATGACTTGTCGTTGCCACTCATCAAGCATTGCGTTGAACGTGTTCTGGATTGAAGTCGACTGCCAGGACGTGCCCATGTCGAAGTAGTGGAGCTCTCGATGAATCGCTCTGAACGAGATGGTGATGGGCGCGTCAGGGACGGACGGATTGAGAACTCCGTCCTTCTTCCTCGTTGCACTCAGCCAAGTATCCTCTGCTGGGACAGATTGGTTCACACCTCGTAGGTCACCTCCGAAAGGTCGAAGCTTGAATTCACGAAGGTGATCACGTAGCATCGAGACCGTAAATGCTCCATCGGTTCGAATTGGGTGAGGTACGTGGAAGTTCTTGATGCACTCCCACATGTTTCCCAATCCATTGATGCATTCCGATGTGCAAAACCCAAGAACTTTGTGATTGCTTCGAGATGCCAGTTGAACAAAGGTCTTCATGTAGGTGGTGCACTTGTCCAAGAATCTTTTAGCCCCAGTGTTGAGCTCCTCCTGGTTCTTAATCAGTTCCAGGAGCTGGAGGTACAGTGTGATCGCCTCCACCTCGGACCGATTCGATGGCACCTTCCCCAAGTAGCAGGCTGAAGCCGCCGCGATCGGACTAATTCCAATCGCATGCCACTTATTGACCGTCACGTCAGGCTGGCTGTTGATAGTCGGGTCATACTCCTTGTACATGGTTGGGATGACACCTTGTCTGCCATTCTCCCTCAACGTGATGAGGATCTTGCCGATGTCGTTGAGATCATGTTGCGCAGAACCAATGATCTGCGAATAGTTCGACATGGCAACCTTACCGGTCGGTTCACTTACTCCTGGTCGGCGACGTCCGATCCAGTTTCGGTTCCCCTGTCCGGAGGTGCACAGCGAGTGAGCCCTTTCGAGATCACGTACTTCCGGTCGGCGACGTCCGAACCGGTTTCCGATCACTCGCCCGGTGTCACACAATGGTTGAGAAGCCGTAATAATCTTGAAGGATTGACTTCCCATAGTTGAATGTCCTGAGAAATCAGGGTCAACATTGATCCGACATCTATACTTGTGAAACATCATCAACCACATGAGATCTGCTGCAACTTCATCATTGTTGTATGCAACTGATACCGCTGTCTTCTTGATGGAACGTCTATCATGCATGCAACTGCTGCATGTGTCATCTTCATTTGACAATGACTTCTTGAACGTTTTCAGGATGATGTCGACGATCTGCTGGGTGTAGGTCTGCGTGACCTTTGTTTCACGACCTTCACACTTCCCGTGATCATGTCTTCGGTCACATTTCTTGTGTAAATCAAATTCAACCCCCCACGATACAATCCTCCATGGCTTCTTAATAGGAATATTACGATCATCTAACTGTGTCTTCAGACCATACATGCATCCGTCAAAGTCATGGACATGTGAGTCTGTACCTTCAATCATGCACTTCATCCGTTCATCATGCCAATAGTCGCATCCTCTTGGCAACTCCAATAGTGCCATGGCATCCAACTTGATCACTTTCAGAAGACAATTTGAAAACTCTTCCCACAATTTCCAGTATAGACGTGCTTTGGCGTTGATCAAATGAGCAGTAAGCCAACTGACTCTTTTGTTCAGCCTGTTCCATGGAGATCCGCCTGTGCAAGGTCCAGCGAAGAAGACGCAATCCTTGTTGCTGCGAAGGCATCTCCTCCACTTCGCACTCCCGTATCTGGAGAGAAGGTCATCATCCTCTGTAATCAATTCCAGATGAATAGATGCATCCATAATTGCACTGTATCTCTTTGTCATCAAACTTGAAGGCTCAGCACACATCAATATCATAGCGGGTGTACTTTCGGGCAATTCTTGCAATGTAATAGTGACGTTCTTCCCCAAATATTTTGTACTCTCAAGGTCGGGAATAGATCTGACGAACGTATAGTTCAAACATTGCCCATTGTCACGGACCAATAATAAATTGATCATACTGTCCGCAAATATGTTCAACCAATTGTCATTCTTGTTCTCTTCGATCATCATCCGATATGTGTGGGGAATAAATATTTTGTTCGGTGAAATGATGTCCAGACCCATGGCGTGAACACAAGTCATCAGATTATCGTCCATAATGCAACTCGCAATCGGAAGAACCTCCTGATGTCTCAACACGCGAAAGATAGACTTTCCAGTCCAGAACTCATTTCTATTGTTTGACCTTTCTCCATTATCACCAGGGAGACGCCAATTACTTTTGTCCACCCTCACATTCGACTGGAACTTCAATTGAGTTTCTCTCCAATCTTGAATCAAACGATGATCACAGGGACAGTCTTCACAATCACTTGGAACGAACATTTCTCTTCTTGGTATGTTGTGGATCCTTTCCAGAACATGATCACCTATCCATCTCCATTCATCACGAACAGGAACTTCATCATGACCACATTCAGTTGCTGATGCTACTTTCTTGATGTTTCTTCTCCGCATATGCGATTTTGTTGACTGTAAACTCTTTGTGTTGGGACTTGACGACTTTGAATCCTCCATGCCTCTCCCCCCATGAACAAGGCGTACTAGGGCATTGATCACCCTTATAGTCATGGGATTCCCGTCATGTAACGTAAATGGAATCTTCTGAGGACGTTGAGCTTGTTCAAAGAGTATTTCAGTACTGAATGTGAGGCTCGGATGATTGTCCAGTTCAAACGTCGCCGCACGTGAGAACTGTTCTCTGGCCGCCGTCGACGCACATGCGGGCAGTGAGACAATCGGAGCGGAAGTGGGATAATGATATTGAAAACATGCCCTTTCAATCCATTTGTCAAAACGGGATTGTTGTAACAATGGTGGAACACGATCCTCAATTCGTTCCCACTTCCCGTGGACTAAGATCCAGGTGCTCCGAAGGCAATCTGCAGGAAGTTTGACACCAGCTGGTCTTGTTCTGAACAATGTAGGGGTTTTGACCACAAAGATAGGATCCATACCAGGTAGCTCTTGAAGCTTTTCTCGGCTTGAAAGACCCTTACGGTACACCTCAGGTGGCAGTATGGGTGTTTCAGTGTATGGAAAATTGGGAACCTCATCTGTCCTTGACTGAAAAACTTGACGAACTGTAGTGTCAACATCCGTAGTGGGCTGCACTAAGTCTGCCAATTGCTTCGAACCAAGGTCTTCGGGTTCCAAAAGATTGATCAACATGCATGCCTTTTTCCAGGCAAGTGGGTTTGTAAAACCTTTTGTGTGGATGTCCGCGGCCATCTTCGCTGTGATCTCATACATGAGAACAAAGTGATCTTTGCTGAAATGCTCATGTAATGACGTAATAGAAATTCCATGAGTCCTTTCCAAATGCCGCATTGTTGGATTCCTTCCAGAACGAACCACACCAATCATCCCTTGGTTGTCATCATGAAACAACAACTTGGGAGAAGATTCTGTAAGCGTTTCCCAAATACTGAGTGCAGGAAGACCCATTGTTCGAAGGGTTACATCAGCGGCTACGATCTCAGCTTCAGGTGTAGAATGGCTCACACACCCCTGGCGTTTGCTTCCACCAGCTAACGGAAACCGAGTACGTTTCCCCTGAATATGCATATGAGAACCTGATGTGGACCTCAAAGATTGTGCACATCC